TTTAGAATCCACTGCTGTGCTGCCATCTTCTGTCCACGTGGCAGCCCAAGCGTACAACACCTCTACAAGGCGAATATCAATCACACTCAACCACGCTCAGCTTCTGAGATCTGACGAAATCAATCCCAACCGGGCCGATTTGGTCACAGCTATTGCACCACAGGGCTGTCGCTGTTGACGCTGTTGCGTAACGAACACTTTGCGGACGAAAAATCCAACTGGTTAACTCGTTGTGGTCATAACGCTCAAAGTCACGACGATTCAGCCTTCTTTTAAAATCTCCCTCGTCGAGGGTCCATCGAGCTCACAAAAAACATAATTCCGGGAATGCTAAAAAAAGAAACCACTTTGTGGGAAAGTCAACAGCAATGTTTGTCCAAAGGAGAGAGTGGCACCTGCCACAGGAATGTAGAATTTCCACCAACGGTTTGGGGACCACCAACAAAGAAGAGCTGCGGTCCAAATGGTTGTTTGAACGTGGAAAAACTTTCATGTCGGCGCTTCTCTCTCCGCGGCTAGACGGCGGCAGGATGAGCGGCACGACAAAACGAGCGGGGGGGGGGGGGGCGGGGGGGGGGCGGTTGCGGTGATATCAAGGAGCAAGTGGCGGCCGGGGGAAACCCCGCGCCGACAGGGATTCTGGCCGAGTTCATTCCTCCCACGTTAGTCACTTGCGGCCGGCAACAGCCTCGCATTTAGCGGCGAGCATTCCAGCAGCAGCGATGCCATCGGGCTCGACAGAAGAGCGGAACGGCGGGAGAGCCACGGCCTTTAATAGCGTGTCAAAGTCAGAGCCTCAAATGCATGCAGGGGCAGAGCTCGTCTCTGTTGGTGGCCCTGAGCCCTGGTGGTGGAAATTCCACATTCTTGTGGCTGAAATATTTCATAAGAATTTGCACGGAAAATACATTTCATAATTAATAACAGCAAGCTAATGAAAGAGTGCATAAAAGGACGGATGGAATAAATGTTGATACGGCAAATGAGGCAGAACGAAGAAGACAGAGCTCTAGGGGATACTAATATTCGTGAAAAGGCAGGGAAGGCGAGACTTAGGTGGTCTGGGCTTGTCTGAGAAGGGGGTGAAGAAGATGTAATGAGAAAGTCTGTGAAGATGCCACTGGTGCAGAGGAGTAGAGGACGGAGACCGAGGACGAGATGGGAGGATGCGGTCGAATGAGATACGAGGGCAGTGGATGTGACGAGAGAAGAGGCACAGAATAGAAGCACGTGGAGAGAGAAAATCTGAGCAGCTGACATCACAAAAATAAATCGAATTGTGTCTGCGATGCACGGGATAGCGGTGGTGCAGCGGTTTACACGCTGCGCTACGAACGTAACAATCCCAGTTCGATTCCCGACCAAGGCTAACAACAGCAGTGGCGAGTGATATCCGAACTGGTCCTCAGCAAGCCCTGCACCAGCCTGCGTGGACCGATGTGGTGAAGTATGGTCAAATAACCCCCCCGCTTCTGATACAACACGAGGAGGCCTTCATCCACAAGTATATTGACAAGGGGCTGCAGCTTATTTATTCTCACTATTATGGCCTCACACAGTCCAATGCCTGGCATACAACGACACATACAGTTCAACATATGCGGGTTGGTAAATGGTTTATACATGCAGATATAATGTATAAGAGATTTTTGGGTTATGGATGATATTGGTCGGGAAAGCCTACGTGTTAAACAGATATAATGTAATAAATAATAAATTAGCTCACCACAAATATGCAAGAGGGAGGGAGCGTTGCGTTTCTGTGGCGGCAGGCTGCCTGGGCAGACACTGTCATGGGATATGAGGCAGGTACGTAAAGGTCGAAACGAAAACGTCTGAAAGTGAAATTTAAGAAAATAAATGACTGCGGCGAGGCTGTGGTCCTACCGAGGCGCTGCGCCGTTTCCAACTGGGGCTCAATACGTGCTCGATTGAAAACGAGATCGGCGGTAAGAGTGAGCGGGGAACTGTAGAAAAGAAGAGGTTGCGCACGTTAGGCCACCGCATTTGTGACCTTCCCTCATGAGTTCGTCTCTCAGGTCAAGGTGGTTAAAGGCGCAGCTCTTCAACTGCTGGCTCCCGCCACCGCCAGCAGAAGGGCCTCTACGCTGGCCAAGCACCTTGGGAGAGACGGGAGTGCCCACACTTTACCCCACCACGTGACCGGCTCTATCCATGAACGGTGGTGCGCCCATTGACTCCGCTGGGTGGACAGAGGTACGTTTCATAGTCAATGCCAGAATCATAATCAGAATATTGCTTTATACTGGAGGCATCCGAAGAGCTTTCAAGTTGTTTTTTCACAGATATCCAGTCAGGGGTGGGGGTCAGAACGTTACAACAACAAATAGTAAAAAACAACACAATTGGAGTACAGAGTATAGGAAAGGAAAACAAATCACAATAAAATACCAGGTAAAGCCAACTGAGCAATTAGCTTCTTTTTCAGAAGAGACCTGACCCCAAATGATAGCTCAACAAAGTGGCTAATCACGTCGAAATTTACAGGAGCAAAATTATCTAAATAATCTAGGGGTGCTCCTGAGCTCGGAGCAAGAGTTCCACATTCCTTATGGTGAGCGCGAGTCCGTCCACACGTGGACTATAGTTGACCGAGCAGAGGGCGGTTTATTGATTCCGTAGGGACGTGGACGACTGGTCGAGCTGAACCCCGGCTAGGGTTTTAACTCTACAGCCCGATTGTGAGCCGAGCGCTGTGCCCACAGCGCCACCTGGTCGGATGCATTAGATATATTTTTATATCGACAACATGCAGCCGCTAACGCGGGGAGGGGGGGGGGGTGCGGCGGTTGAGCAAAGGCAGGCGCACAGAACACACCCCTCCGGCCAGAACGTGGGATCTCTGAATATTTGAGGGAGGGATTGAGGACATTGCTGACATTCCTTTGGTCAGCAAGCAAACAACGACCCACGAGCTATGTGCTTAACGTGTACAAGTATTCACAAGTGTGTGCGTGTGTGTAGATGGAGCGGGCAGTGGTGGAGAGGTTCGCACCCCACGCTACGAACCCAGTGACCCAAGTTCAATTCCCCGCTCATGGTCAACACCAGTGACGATTATCTGAACCGGTTCCAGGGCCTCTCTTAGGTCGACTCGGCCTCAAATGAGTACCTGGTGCAATGTGTAAACATCAACAATAGGGAGACAAAGGTGGCCGGGCGTATTGCTGGCCACCCACCCCCTCGTGTGCCGTTGCCGGCATTCATAGGTGCTCGCTAATAGCACTTGCCCTAACAGTCTGTTAAAGGCTATGCGGGGGATCTTTGTCTTTGCGTAGACGGAGGGGGCGAAGATATAATATGGTGGTTAGCACTTGGCCCATAACGAGGCACCACCCTCAACACAGCGGTTTGACTGAGTCCGTCACAATTCATGAATCGATTCCCTTTTTACACGCTTTTATTTAACTCACTCTGTCTGTCGTATCCTCAACTCTGTCTGTTGTCGTATCCTCAAATCTTGTAACTCAATTTTAACCCACTTCCCAATGTCGTATCGACTGCAAACTTGGTATACGCATGTCATACTGGTGACAATACTATATTCTATCATTACAAAAATATTTTTTTAAGCAATCTTTTTATATGTTATGTTTCGGCTTGGTTCTAATTGTCCACGCTCAACTGACGTTGGCTGTAAATCATCACGGTCCCTTACGTTATGGCAAGCTTTGGGGCCACTTCATGAAGTCGTGGAGTGCTGCCATTACTCGTACGGTACATTTGATTAAAGCGTGTTTGTAAAAAAGTTTTTTAAAAATATTACTTATTTTGCCCTCCCCCCCCCCCACCCCGTTTGGCACTGCCTATGCACAGCCCCACACAGCAGGATTTCACAAGTGCCAGTGGAAACATCCGAATGCCCACACAGCTGCCTGCCTTGAATAAAACTCTCGCTCCGTGGTGAAACCGCCACACTGCCCACTCACCACCACCCTAGCCTGCTCGCCACCACTAATGCCCACTAACTAGCAACATTGTCCGCTCACCATCACTACTGCCCGCACGCCAGCATCACTCCCCACCACCGCCGCTGCTGCTGCCCCCACCTCTCCATGTGGTGCCCTTGACTCCAGGCTATGATTAGCAGGGCCGTGGGGAGGTGGGGGCACTGCATGGGGTGTCCGATCCTTAACCTCTTGGGTGGAAAATGATACTGGAAAGCTGTGCCCTATACACAGGCATATGTTGTGCAAGAGATTTCAAAGCGTTAATATTGCCAATTGATGTTCCTTCATCCCACTGTGAGGCACAAGAAGAGATGTGCGCCCCCAGCTTCACGTATTCGCACGTTTCATATCGCATCGTGCTGAAGTTAATAATGTTCTGTGAGGCTCAACCGGGACACATGGTAAAAGCTGGCAGCCTCTCTGTCCGTCAGCCCTGCCCACTTTCACATCGCCACGCACGCTCAATCACTAGCCCCGACATCGCACTCAGTGGCCTTCAGAGCTGCGAATATTAGTCGGTTAAATCGATTATTTGATAAAATAATGGCATTTACAACAAATTTTTTATGCTCGATTATTGGGGCCCCTTTAAGAATATTGGCCCCAACATCCAGCCTCCCCCGAAAGCAGGAAACCCCCTACAAGTCAACAATTGTCGCCTGTCAACTCCTGTCCAATAGAACACGTGGGGGCAGAGGTGAGACTCTGCCGCCGGATTAATTAAATAAATGGCCATCCTCGCAACGGCCTTTGGCTGGTCATCGAATACAAACGGTCATCGCATCGCGCGCTTTCAGATGCGCTTCTGCGGCCATCTGGAACGCTCTTCCTTCCAATATCAGGAAGCCACTGGAGCGATGCTTTTTGTGTTTAGTTTGTTGTCCTTCCGCCCAGCACCTCCGATCAGCACAGTTAGCTACGTATGGTGCGAAAGAAGTTCAACATGCATACAAGCGAAGAACACATTATAGCTGGGTCATATCTCGCAGCTCGTCCGCCCCCCACGTGTTCCTTATTTCAGGGACTCACCAGGTGTCGGGCCCGGCTCGTCTCCAGTAGCTCCCGCGACTGCTGCTGTTGCTGCTGCTGCAGCTGTTGCTGCTGCTGCTGTTGCTGCTGCTGCAGCTGTTTCTGCTGCTGCTGTTGCTGCTGCTGCAGCTGCAGCGTTGCTCGGCCCGGGTCCGGCCGGTGCACCGTGCCACCCCCCGCCAGGCTGTCCTCCGCATGTTGCCCCCACTGCCCTCCGCCCGCCCCACTCTTCCACTCGAAAACACGCGTGACGGCTTCTTGGGCTTCCTAGGGAGCGGAGGACGGGAAGGGAGATGCATGGCGGGTCGACAGGGCACGGCGAGCGAGCGTGTGCCGAGTTGGCTGCCAGTACGAACACTGAATAACAAATTTCATTTACAGCTTGCCGGAAATTGAAAACAAATTGACTATCCAATATCGCTAGACATTATACACCATCGTACAGCACTAAAATAGCCATCGTGCAGCACTCGATCATATATGCCAGATTTTCTCTATCCTTTGCAAATAATCTGAATCGTAAAACAAATTGACTCTGACAAGTATGAAACAATGCATGGATCGTGATTATTTGAAAATACAATCTAATTGACTAATGCACAACTTGATAATTGGTTTTTTACCCTTCTATCTGGCAACAAAACTGACACCTTTTTTACAAGGAGTCATGTTTGCATAGACCACAATACCTGCAGTCATAATGCAAACAAAAAACATAACTCTGTATCCACTGTCCTTATGTTTTTTTGTTTGCATTATGATTGCAGGTATTGTGGTCTATGCAAACATGACTCCTTGTAAAAAAGGTGTCAGTTTTGTTGCCAGATAGAATGGTAAAATACCAATTATCATATTTTTTACTGGCAAATGAGGTTCCAATGGTGTTAATGCACAACTTCTCGATGAATCCCATGCACCCAGCAAAGATCCCCATATTAAGGTCAGAACAGCACAGAAGGGGGCGGGGTGGCCGTCACCATGCCGAGCCACCGTTGTCTCCCCAGTGGTGATGTTTACACCGCACCAGGCGTACTCGTTCAAGAACCGGTTTAAATATCCTCCACCGATGTTAGCCTTGGCCGTAAACCGCACTGGGGTCACCTGGTTTGTAGCGCATCGCACACATCGCAGCGCCCCGTGCGCATTTGCACCTCCGATTAGCACGGTTGGCTACGTACGGTGCGAAAGAAGTCCAACATAGATACATACATCGCACACACACACCGCACCGTCTCGCGCAAGTCCGCATCCCCGTCACTGCGGACGCTGGCTGGGAGCTGCCTTGGCCTCCCGCTGGCGTCAGGGCGGTGCCATGGGCTGCCCCGATCCGGCTTGTAAGGCTGGTGGCCGCCAGGATGACGCGAGGCAAGGACCGTCAGCTGCCCGTACATGCGGTCCCATGCGGCTAGCGGGTCTGGCGAGGAGCTGACAGATGGGGCACACACAGGCAGCGTGATCCGTGCTACAACAAACGCTGCCAGATGTACATTCATTCATTCGTTCGTGTGCCTTGTTTAAAGCTAGGCGAGATCTCACTGCCTATCACCAAATCACTCAGAATGCGGCCGGTCTCATCAGATCTTGGGAAGAAAGCAGAATCAAGCCTGGTGGACTTTATTGAGAAAACAAATGTTCTAGATTTTGGTTGTGAGTTGGCTATGCGATGGCAGAAGAGTAATGGGTCCTTGAATCAACCTCTGTGGATATTTGAGTATCTCACCCTCGTGTGCGTGTATTGTCTTCAAGTTCTTTGACTTCCTCTCACATGTGACTCATGAATGCAATTGGCCAAATATCCCAACGTAGAACCCTTTTGAAAAGTTACGAGACTCAATCAGGTTTCCCTCGATGCAGGCATTGTTATAATTAGCATCATTTGGCAAAAATAATCTCTGAAATGTGAATATGGAATTTTCACCAGTAACTCGGGCCTGCCAAGAGATAAAATGCGTGCTGCACTAGAATTATTATTTTTTACAGAAACATATTTCAGTTTCATAGAGGATATTTCAGTTTCTTAGAGGATAACACATATAACGTCTCTTAGAAAGACCCATACTGGTTGGGATGGGAGACACGACAAAGAAGACTGTGGAGTTTCAACAAAGTGGTTCTCATTGTTATCATCCCAAAGCAGGATGGACCCAGTTGACCCCTGAGCAGGGAGTTGACATTCCGGTTGGGAGTTGAGAAACTCCAATCGCAGGCGCTACCGCACCGCTTCACGCGTTTAGTTGTTGCGGCGGTGATTGTTTACGAGGACAACGGAATGTTCGGCCTGTGCTAATAAACCACTGCCAGGAGTAGTCCAATCTGTTGCATTTGAGGCTGCAGGTTTATGGTTCAAACCGCAACTACGGTACAATTCCAGCAACGCTACGCATCTAAGCCACAGTCATCCATGGTAAAAACCGCTGTAAAAACACGGTAAGTTCAAAGTGAAACCGCATACGCAGCAACACACAATCAAAATAATGCTTCAAATCTAGAACAAAATAATGCTGTTTATCCAGAAATGTTTCACCGACTCTCAACATGCCTTATCAGGAGGATTCTGCATGAAAGTGGCACTCTGGCACAAAAAAAATGCTTAATGGTTCCCAATAACCTTGCAGCCACTATAATTTCCAAGGGCAAAATAATAATAATAAAGTAGGACCACGGACCATGATTAACTGAACCATTAAATCCCTACAATTCACTGTCTCTTTTCCACTCCGTCTCTCCTCTAGCAGCACGGTTCTTACCCACACATCTTTCTCCTGTCCCATCGCCTCTTTTGATCTCACTAAGCCGGGCGTAGTGGCTGTGACGCACTCCTGTAATCCAGTGCTTTGGAGGTGGCGTTGGTGAACCGTGCAGATGCTGACATGTACCGGATGCCTAGCGACCAGGGATGGGCTGAGGAAGCCAATAGGTGGCGGTACAGAAAGAAAGATGCTAATGCACCTGCGTGGATTCGTAAGTGTTATGTTATGGGTATGAGCACACACGTTTCGACCTAAGCTCAAATATATTCCATAAGAAAACTGGCCAAACATGCTCTGCAGACATGTCCTGAACAAGTGTGTTGGGACTCAGTGGGGATTTCCTGGATAACAAAAATTAGCGGTCAAATTGTCACCCCGCTCTCCACTGAAATTCATAAGCCAATCGTGGAAATTGAACATTCCCATGGCAGGGACCAGTCTATCCGAGAACATGTACTGCCCTTTTTAACAATCCTCGACTGGATGAGACCTTCCCCACTCCGAGCAGGTTCGTGGGGGTTATTTAACTATACATCACCACGTTGGTCAGTGCTGATTTGTCAAGGCGGGCAGAATAGACATTGGAGCATAGTACGGTACAACAGTGGATCTGTATTGCCTTTAATGTAGCCAAACAGCAGCCTATCACACCCGCTAGTGCAGTGGTCACCCATCCCAAGCACTGTGCAGGCTCTGCCCTGCTTTAACTTCTAAGATACAACAAGGCCAGGTGCATTCTGGCTGATTTGACCATGGGCTTATCCGAGGATTCCTGAATATAGAACAAGATGAAAACGTGTGTCCAATCTTCTCTCTCTCGTTTGCTAATCCTCTCCTAGAGACTGAATGACCCTCTCGTCTGTGCACGCATTATTCAACTGCACGCGACGCATCCCTCCGCGCCGGTTCCAACAGGACCTCGGGTGACGACCCCTCCCTCAGACGTGGGCGATGCCCAAAGGCCCGGACGCTGCCCGCTATTTCTGGGGTTTCTGCGCAGCTGAAAACCCAACTCCCTCCCACGCTCGGCATGACTTCACTGCCCACATACGAGTGCCTCACGTTATTTGAAGTGGTTGCATTTTTACTATATTTGAAATATTGCTTTTCCTCCCCGCTTCCCCCGCCATCCTACTCTGACGTTATTAGAAATTGCGCGTGCCTTTCGAACGACCTACTACATTACACGAGTACCCGACACCGGTCACGCATTAACGAATGGTGTCAACAATTTCCAGATCAGCGTCTTTCACCATGCAATGGAATGGCGATCATCTCCACCGGTGGCCCGAACAAGTGGGGGGGGGGGGGGGGGTTAGTCTCTTAGAAAGACATTTTTATTTATTTCCCAGAAAGAAGTACAGTACTCTTTTTAAAGACCCAAAAAAAATGAAAGGCTGAGTCAAACTTCACACGAAATTTGTATCCATTACCTGCCCGATCTCCTGGCCCACTTCCCCTACTCTGTGTAGCGACTGCTTCTCAGAGTCCATGGCGAATATCATCTAATCGCAGACTATGCTTACCCTGGGACTCGATTGAAGGAATCACTCACGAAGCGCGTCCTCCGATGTTCCTGCGGCTCCCCTAGCGTTTGTTTGTGCAAGAGCACTTCCCTGTAGCTCCAAGGGGCAACCCAATGGTGCTGGACTGGGACTGGTGGTGGACCCTGATCCTGGATCCCCGATTCTCCTTGGTTCTAGACATAGGTGACCCTGGTGGCCCTGGTGCTTCTGTGACCTCCTCTGGGGGTGTCCCTGAGCTGTGCGCCGCATTTGCCTTGTCCGTCTGTCTCTTTCCCGCCTCTCCTCACCTTCGCCTTGCCCCAAAACCTCTGCCAGCAGTCCTCGTTTGTTTACCTCACCCCCCCCGGTTGTTGTCCCGGATGCTCTAACCCCCTAATTCGTACAGTGTGTTGAAATGTTGAATCAGCGTCCCACGCTACCTCAGCGCGGCGGTGTGGGGTCGACCCGACCCTTCTGCTGTCCTCCTGATGTAACTCTGCCGCACGCCGCCGCCACCGCCGCTGGGCAGGTGAGAGATTCCGAAGTCCGGTGCCGATTTAACGGCCAGGTGCTGGGTTGCAGAATGACTCGGGGCGGCGTTGCCGCCAGAGTGGAGGGCGGGAGCCGGCCCAGACTCAGGCCGTACCAATGAGCGGCCCGCCGGGTTCAAGTTAGCGAGCTGTGGAGAAAAAACACACGGTGTGGCTGTGTGCCGATGTTGCTGTGGCTACCTCGCCTTGTGTTGTGCTGAATGGACAGGTGCTCGCGAATAGCAATCACCACTTCATCTGTAAATCTGTAAGGCTACATGAGGGACCTTTGTGCATGTGTGTGGTATGCATAATCAACGATTTTTGGGTTTAGATCGCGTTTATTTATAAATGTGTCGTAACCCTCCACCACCCGACACGGCCAATCAGTAAAAATGTGTCACGTTGACAAAGACAAATAGTTCACTGCTTTAGCCCACCGGTGTGTTGAAGCAACAACATTTACAATTTGAGTACGACGTTTCGCTGGTAATTGCAACCAGCATCATCGGGCAATTCGCCAGAATGGTGAGGCTCTCCTGTGTCTCCCGTTCTTATATAGAGCAGCAGCAGGGTGACGGCATATTAACTCATTAACTCATCAGGTGCAAAGATTCAAGGGGGGGAGTGATTGTAATTATATACTAGATTAGTAATCAGGCTATTGTTACGATGCGAGTTTTAGATTAGTAATCATTTGGAATGTGCTTTATTGTGATTATGCTACATTAGTAATCAGTTAGTGGTTGTTTCCCTTATAAGTAATTGTAATGTATCTTATTTAATAATACGCTTCCAGGCCGCACTAAGCCTGTAGCTGTCTGAGCGATTAAAGTTATTTCTGTTTCTCTCAATTTCAATCGATTCTCTAATTAGTCTTTGCCAGTAGTAACTAGTTTTACACAACACTTCCACGTTGTCAAAATCAATTGAGTGTCCCTGTTGGCATGCATGTTCTGCTACTGCCGACAGTTGTGTTTGTGATAGGTTAATATTTCTCTGGTGTTCTTTTAGTCTTACACTAACGTTACGCCCTGTCTGTCCAATATGTCCAATATGCGTTGAATGTGTGCGTTCATGGGTATCTCTATAGGTACATATTTGGATGTTTATGTGTGTCCATGCATGTTTATATTTTTTTTGTGCATGCGTGCATGCGTGCGGATTGGTGGCGAGGTACTAGCGCATTGCGCTACAAATCTGGCAGGCTGGGTGCGATTCCCGGCGATGGCTAAGGTCAGCGGTGATATTTAAACCTGTGCAAGGCCTCCCCTACGTCGACTCCGCCTTAAATAAGTACACTGTGTGGTGCGAAACATGCGGTCCTGGCCACACCACCCGCTCGCATGCCGAGTCGCCCTTCAAAGGTGTTCGCTAAAAGCACTTGCCCCCGACGGCCTGCGTAAGCTTCACGGCGGATCTTTGTCTCGATGCACGTGCATGCGGAGGTTGCGGTGGGTGCTCACGCACGTGCTGGCCGAGCAGCCCGGCCGCCGTGTACTGCCGCGACGCCTGCTTCTCGGCCAATCGCTTCAGCGCCACCACGACGGCGTCGCCGCCCCACGACGCTTGCTCACGGGACAGAGCCGTGGCCGTTCCCGGCCGCTGCCGAACGGGCGACGAGCCGGTACCGCTGTGCGCTGTCAACAATGCAAACAAACACAAAGATCTCCTGTATGGCCTTAACATAAATAAACACACGACACACACACACGCGTGTGTATACCCAAATATAACAAAGACAAATCTCCCGTACAGGAGCAAGTTCTGTTCGTGAACACCTATGAAGGCCGGCACGGCACACGAAGGGAGTGGGTTTCCAGCACCACGCCTGACCGCATTTGTTTCCCCAGTGGCAATGTTTGCACACTTCACCAGCTACTCATTTGAGGCGGGGTTAACCTAGGGGATGCCCAGGACTGGTTCAGATAATCGTCACTGGTGTTGGCCGTGAGCGTCGAACCGAACTCGGGTCACTGGGTTCGTAGTGCAGCGCACTAACCGCTGCACCACTGCTTCCCATAAACAAACACACGCACACGTGTTAATACCGAAATACGCACACGCATGCACGCGCGCAAACACGCGAGATCATAGCCCTGCGGCCACCCAAGCATTAGTAGGCATTAAGTATTCTTAGATTGTGAATCTGACAAAATTGTGTGATTTGGTCACACACAGACACAGTTTCAGGATGTAAAACTGCAATATCCAGATCCCAACAGAGGAGTGCGTGGATTTGAACAAGTAACGGCCAGAACTCATCGTGTAATCACAAAACCTGATTGGTGTAATCACAAAACCTGCTCATCACCCTCATGTTTCGAATGGCTCCTCCGCCCCCCTGCTTCTATTGCATGGCGGGGAGTCGGTCAGCAGCGTTGATGTTCTTAGCGAATGAGCCAGTGGATGGCTTCAGGATTAACCTGGGGAATATCTGAAATGTTGGCGGCGAATGATTGACATGGGCAGCGGTATTACCCTTTGTGCTTCATGGTTTGAGACTGCAATCGCATTATGGGCCATTCATAATCTCCAAAACCGCATCCACTGCACAAACCACGGCAGATGTTGATCCCTAGTACACAAATGGAAACTTAAAAACTCTTCAGTATGTGACTGTGGTCATCCAGAACAGACCGTACATCACGGTGATGCACTCCGCTCACTGCTGACGCGGTTTTTCTGGCATGATCACCTGAATGTGTAGTTGGAGTTGTTGCTCTGCATCTACATCAGCCATATGAAAGGAGAATGGTCCATCGGTGTAGGGGATAGCCGCATTTGCTGTGCTGCTTAAAAGCATCTGAAGCCTGAACTTGAACCGGGAAGGATGTCGCCCATGCGGACAACGAGGGGTAGCGAGTGGATGTTTGGATACGCGACATCGTTGCATTCATAGCGAGGAATTGCTCACCCACTTTGGCGGAGGCCGGCCGTCCCAGCCGCTGGCTGTAAATGGTCGCGGCAGAACGAACCGACGACGCCAGCTGCCCCGTGTGCGAGTTCGCCCACACCCCGAATCGGACGCCACTGCCGCCACCTGCTGCTGCCGCCGCCGCTGCCGCCTTTACTGCCGCGACCGTCAGCGGCTGCCCCAGAGCGGTAGCGGCCGAGGTCTCCGGCACGCTTGGAGGCGACGACCGAGAGCCGGTGACCGGGGATGACCCCGAGCTCGGGCCCGAACCGGAGACGCCGATGCCGCTGCCGCTACCACGGCGACTGTCGCCGTTTGGCAAGAGCTGGAGCTCCATTGAAGCGGCACGAGTGGAGGAGTTGGAAGCGCAGGGAGAGGCACTTGCTGGCACTGCTGCATGCTGGGTCAATCTGTCAGTATTTGTGCCACCGTCTGTGGGCAAGAGGCACGAGAGAGACAGGAAATGCAGCGTGGTGCCCACGCAGTCTGGTGCTGTGGCAGCGGCCCTGAAAATCACACGGCGAATACTTTAAATAGTTTTTTTCTCAATAACGAAGCTTCAGACATCCCGTGCCTGCCACGCATCCTGGGCGTGCATCAGCTATAAAACAGCGGTCGTCTGTCTGTGGGCCGCATCTTTCTTCAACCTCTCCCCCGAGCCACCTGCGCACACCGTACCTTTACGGCACCCGTCCTTCGAGCCCCCTGCCGAGCCGGGCACGTGCGTGGCGGCGACAACTGGGGCGGAAGGAGCGCCGTGGTTCTCCCAGGATCCTGGGTCACCGGCGCTCGGAGCGCCCTGTGTGGGGAGGCTCTGCCACGCCGGCTGAGGGTACTGGGGTGGTTTTGATGCCACCACCGCCGCTCCTGTTTCGCGATGGTGCGTTCCTGTGCCCACATCGTGTTCATACATGCCGAATGTGCGTGTCAGGGAGGTTGGAGCCTATGAACTATTTTTTATTTTACTAGGTGAAGCCCACCGAGCTATTATAGCTCTTTTTCAGAAGCAACCTGGCTATCACAAATGATAGCTCTAACGACGATGTGGTTTATCATGTGGAAATGTATAGCAGCCAAATACTCTAAACACACGTTTCTAAAATGTGGAGGGAAAATTCAGAGTACCCAGAAAAAAATCCACACGACCACAGGGAGAACATGCAAACTCCAAATATACAGACATCAGGGTCGGGATCGAACCCACGACCTCCTGAATACCAGGCGAGGTAATTAACATCTGATAGCCGCCGTGGCGCCCGAGTGGCACCAGAGAAGAATTACGAAACAGGGATCTTCGGTCAGGGGGCCGACTCGGGCTTTCAATCCTCTGGGGTCAGCAAAATAAAAGCAATAAATGGTAAATAGCGCCCATGCTAATGTTATCCATTTCATCAAAGAGCCGCTCCCAGGCACCGTGTAATAAATCTACAGATTACGGGCGGGGAACGTGCGGTGCGCGGGCCGCACACGCCCCCCCAACCCCGCCCCGACTTCATTTTACGCGGCCCAGGGCCACGCGAGGCCTACCCCATCGATATTAATCCGTCACAGCAAGCATCTTAGCTGCATTAAGCAGGTACGGGGAGGGGGAATGTTTTCCACCTGGCAACACTGCCTCTAATTTTAGACTGCTCAGTCCAGTCATCCGTCTCACTGCAAGGGCCTCTCTCTCAGAGTGAGAAAAGTGACTAAGCTGTGTGTGTTAATACGTGGCCTGCCAAGGATATTTGAAAATCCCATTCGATCCTCAGCAAGGAAAAGCTTTCCCACCCCTGCTCCGTGCCATAAATCATCACACCACACTCGCGTATTAATCATTCGGCGTTGCAACTTTTCACCACAAACGCTATTGCTTTCACAAGCCGCGCGCATTTTGAAAATGCATTGCAAGGGAGACCCGTGCTTTGAGAGCGGACTTAAAGAGCCGAGGTGGAGGAGCGAGAGGGGCGGCCGGCGCTGCGACCGTCCTACGGCTCCCGCGGGCAGCCAGCGTGGACTCACCGGAGCCAGCCAGGACGTTGCTCTCACTCTTGGCCTTCTCCACATTGCCAGCCGGGGCCAAGTCTGAGGGGGTCTCGGGGAGGCCTTTGGGATCTCCCTCTGCGTTACCTGGCATGGGGGCACGAAGCGTCAGCTGTAAGAACGCCTTACTAATTGGCCGTGTCGGGTGGTGGCAGGTTTAACGACACATTTATATTTACGCGATCTAACCAAAGAAAACCCTCTGTTATGTAAGAACGCCGCGTTTGTATTTAGCGTTTAACACTAGCGGTAGGTACACGTACGTAGACTCCTCTTTGTCATGCCACTGCTGGATGAGAGCCCTCCCTTTGGTGTTGACAAAACGTGTGTCTGTCTGTGTAAGGTGGCGCGGCGGTGAGCGGTGGTGCAGTGGTTAGCGCACTGCGCTACAATGCCAACGAGCTGTGTTCAACCTCCTTGCCATGTCCAGCACAAGCAGGGGGTTAATTAATTTGTACATCACAAAACCACGAGAGCTGGCTGCGGCTTGTATGTATGTATCTTGAACGTCATACCATGTAGCCAACCACGCGAAAAGGAAGTGCAGGTTTAGGGAGGCCTTCAGCCACCAATGGATTGATCGCGACTGATGATGATGATGATGTGATTTATGAAAATAGCAGCAATGGGGAGACAAAGTCATCGATGTATGTGTGGTGGAAACTGTGCCTCATTTACTCTGCTGACCTTACAAGGGTGCCCGTGAACAGGGCTCGTCTCTACACTTCATAGGGCTTAAGAGGGTGTCCTTTGTATCTTGCGTGTGCGAGAGCATGTATATCTGTAAAGTGTTTAGTCTGCACACCACACATTCTTAGCGGTATTTAAGTTAAAGCCTCTAAAATATTAACGGTGGTTTTGGCTCATGGACAACTGTGCCAAACGGCAGCAAATGTGAAATACTCCTCCAACAAGAGGCATTCTCGACCTGTGAGCACGTGTGTGCATGAGTGCTTGTGTGTGTGTGACAGGGAGCGGGATTGTAGCGGTTAGTGTGCTGCGCTACGAACCCGGCGACTCGGGTTCGATTCCCGCTCACGGTAAACACCAGTGAAGATTATCTAAACCGCTCCTGGGCCTCCTCTAGGTCGACTCAGCCCCAAATAAGTACCTGGTGCGGTGTGTAAAAACATCGCCACTGGGGAGCAGAGGTTGCAAACGGGTTTTGATTCCTTACCCGTACCCGGTCGCACCAGGGTCGCAAACGGGTACCCGTACCCGTACCCGGCTGGGTACGGATAGCCGGGTATCGGGTAGGGTACGGGTATCGGGTACCCGGTTGTGACCTCTGCTGGGGAGACAAAGGCGGTCGGGCATGGTGTGGCCACCCACCCCCGCGTCTATGGTGCCGGCCTTCATAGGTGATCACTAACAGCACTTGCCCCAACAGTCTGTTAAGGCTATATGGGGGAGCCGTCTTTTGTGTTTGCAGGAGTGTGTGAGCGCATGAGCGTGTGTGTGTGTCCGTAAGGTATTCGGTGAGTTTTCCAGTGTGCAATTGAGTGTGAGAGTCTTTGCGTACATTTAAGTGTGCAAATGAGCAGACGTGTGAGTGATGGAGTGTCTTACTGAATGGGTAGGTAGGCAAGTAGGTTGATGAGGAAGTGAATAATTTTTTTCATGAAACTGTAAGTGAATATGCAAAATAGTGAGTGAGTGGGAGAGTGAGTGAATGCATAGGCGAGTGCGTGTGTTCGCGAGTGCGTGTGGGCGGATCGGTCGGTGGGCAGGTGAGTGCGTTAGCGAGTGAACGAGTCTCTCACTATTCCGTGTGCCCAGGAAGACACTCGCAGAGCGGTTCTTGTGCGTATACTGAGTGAGAACTTCCTCCAGCTCCCCCTCACTAAGCCACATGGCACACACAACATCGCGCCAAACACAACATACACCATCATATCACAATGCCACCATATGTACCGTAACACCAGAACATACACAATGACATAAGCTGAGTTGTATGAAAGAAAAATGTGAGTATCATCATTATTATTATTTTAACTGGTTGGGTGTTGCTGCGGTCATAATGCCATGAGATCAAATCGCAAATGAAACCTGCTAATTGATGACAATTATAACTGCTGGGGGGAGAATGGCTAATGGCCTCATGATGATCCCGAGTCTCCTTACCTCGCACTGTCCATGAAGCGGTGGAACATCTCGGGAGGCAGCGTGTCTGCTCCGAGTTTTCCATCCTTGGTGGAGCGCTGGGTCATCAGCTCTGTCTCCTGCCGGTTACGCATGCGGCGAGAGAGCACAGGGCGAGTGCTGCAGCCACAGAAGTGGTGGTGGTAGTTGTGGCGGTGGTGGTGATGGTAGTGATGGTGGCGGAGGTGGTGGTAGTTGTGTTGGTCACAGTCGTCGTGGTAGAGCTGCTGCCGAAGATATAATTATTGGCAGCGGTGACAGCGGTAGGGGTGGGCAGTCAAAGCTGTGGTGTTATTTGTGGTGGTGATGATGGTGGTGGTTGCGGTGATGGTGCTATTGGCAGTAGCGGTGGTAGTGGTAGAATTGGTAGTGATGTTGGTGGCGGTTCTGACGCCGTCACTGGGTGGAGTGGCAGTCGCGCCGCTGCCCACCCGTTTGTAGTGCAGCAGGAAGATCCCGAGCTGCCCCGACAGGACGCGCTTGCGGTCGGCCGGGGGCAGCCGGCGCCCGGGCAGCGCGACGCGCACGGGAGCCTGGAGGTTATCGGCCGCGCGGCGCAGGAAACGCACCACCAGGTCCTGTGGCCGGCAAAGCATGGCGCGGTTAGCGAGTGCCTCTTAAGGGCCGTCGCAGCACGGAGGACAAGGGGGGCAATGTGGTCGGAGCCGCGTGCGCTCAACCACCCTCGACTCACCAGGACTGCGATCGGCCTCCATGTGCCGAGTACTCACGTTCGGCCGGCTTTGACGACTCAAACGATATCACCATCATAAATGTATTAAATATTTGCACGTGGAGAAAATACACAAGCCATTACAGAGCACACTCTGATAACACAATTATAACTACTACAGCAGTAGCGGCATCGTTCTGCCTTGTTTACAAGGGAAGCCCTCCGTGATGCTCTTTGCTCATGGGGAACGTCATGTGTTGGTACGGCCCACAAGAGGGTTATGTGGAGGCCACCAAACTCGGCCGTCTTTGTCTCTCCAATGCAGATCTTTACACACCACATCAGGCAATCATTTAAGGCTGAGTCGATCTAGGGGAGGCCCACGACCGGGTTCAGATAATCGTCACTGGTGTTGGCCGTGAGCGGGAACCAAACTCGGGTCTTTGGATTTTGTAGCGCAGAGTGCCAGCGGTATGGCTCACTCGCGCACAAAAACAAAGATCCCCCATATAGCCTCAACAGACTGTTGGAGCAAGTGCTGTTAGCAAGCACCTATGAAGGCTGGCACAGCACACGAGGGGGTGGGTAACCAGCCCTGCACCACCGCCCCTCATAATACGGAGCGGTAGTGTAGCGGTCATCCCGCTGCTCTACGAACCCAACTCATGGCCAACACGAGTAATATCTTAACTTATCCTGGGCTTCCCTGAGGTGAGCTCAGCCTCAAATTAATATTTGATGCAGTGTGAAAGCATTGCCACTACGGAGACAAAGGCGGTCAGGTGTGGTGCTGGCTACCCATCCCCTCGCGTGCCGTGCTTGCTTTCATAGAGTCTGTTAAGGCTGTACAGGGGATCTTTGTCTTTGACTCACACACACACTCGTACCATTTGTTCGGTGTCCGTGGGCAGCGGAGGCTCAGAGGAAGCGGGCTCCCTGCTCTCCTGCACAAGTCGCTGCTGGACTCGAGACAAGTATGCAGCAAAGGCCTGTCGCGCCTGCACCTTGCTGTGTCATACAAAAACAAATGTCTCTGTTAGCGAGCACCCATTAAGGCCTTAATGGGACATGGGGAGAGCTGTGTGTGAAGCGCCACTCTTGAACACCCTTGTGTCTCTAATGCTGATATTAACGCACCGCACGAGGTCCTCGTTTTAGGCCAAGCCGACCTTAGGGGAGGCCAGCAGGCTAAGTTCATGTTCCCATTCACAAGTTCTCACCCCAGTCGAAGCTCAAATCAGCCACTAGTCCCTCCAAGACACGACAAGAAAGATTACTTCCACTGTGTGAAAGCAAAACAACGAATGTCCTGCGATGAAATGGTTCCCACAAATAGAAATGTGAAGGTTCCACAACTGGCCGAAGGCTGCCAATGGAGATGAAGAATGCTCGTTCGAAGGAGGAGGACATATCGACCTTCAGAAATAGGCACAGCCCTTATTGTCAATCCACTGCTGGACAATGGGCACCCCATGCCTTTGTGGGTAGTCAGGGTTATTTGACCCGACTTCACCACGCTGGCCAGCGCTGGATTTAGGAAGACGTGGAAGCATAGAAGTAGAATACAATGGCTATTGCCGTACTGTCCTCCGTGTATCCTCATGACAACCTGTTTGTGTATGGTGGTCAACAATCCAAGCACTATCTGGGATCAACCCCCACTTAGCTTGTGAGATAACAATATAATAATAATAACGTGGTAATAATAATTAGTGCCGGTTTATAGCACCAAGGGCTGATGAGCTTGTTCGCATTCCGGGCGATTTGGCCATAGCCTCTTGACTAAGAATCGAGATAAACGGAATACTTTAAGGCGTTATTGGCCAGGCCAGCACACGGGCAAACTTCCAAGTTTACTAATGTCTAAGACTGGGTGGGCGGAGGTGCTTTACATGAATTAACACAAACATTTCTCCTGCCGCAAAGAATGACTGGCTCCAGCGCATACTAAGACGGCTAAATTATCAGCCTTGGCAACTCTAAAGACCGAGTATCCTGATAAAACCACAGAGCTCTTCACATTTTTCCGATTAAAACCTGAGCCAAGAAACGGCACCCCCATTACTGTTGCTCCTATTATTATTATTATGCAACACCCATGGAAGGGAGTGGTCATTGGCAGTAGCGGAGGTGCGGAGATTAATGGGTTTGTTGGAACTTGCAGGGCTTAATGAGTACAATTCCACGAAACCGGTAGAAGCGAAAAAATGAAAAGAGTAGGGAGGCATGGTATTTCATTTTGGATTACACTACAATGTGATTTAGTGGAACTATGTACATGCTGTGGAGAGCGGTAGTGTAGCGGTTAGCGCGCTGCATTACGAACCCGGCGACCTGAGTTAGATTCCCGCTTATGGCCAACACCAGTGACGATTATCTGAACCAATCATGGGTCTCCCCGAGGTCGACTCAGCCTTAAATGAGTACCCAGTGTGGTGTGTAAACATCACCACTGGGGAGACAAAGGCGGCTGGGCGTGATGTTGGCCACCCACCCCCTCGTGTGCCGTGCCAGCCTTCATAGGTGCTCGCGAACAGCACTTGTCCCAATAGCCTGTTCAGGCTATACAGGGGATCTTTGTCTATGTATCCAATGCTGGATGAAGGCTTCCCCACACCCGTGCGAGTTGTGGGATTGGGTGATTTGACCGTACTTACCTACGCTGGGTCAGTGCGGTTTGGTGAAGGTCGGGATGATAAGCATGGGACCCCGGACGTACAGCACAATGACAGATTTTGCCGCACTGCCTTCTGGTTCCCACCACATAGCTTGACAGCAGCAGCCAATGAAAATCTGTTGGTGCCTCTTGGTCACCCACCCCAAGCGCGATCCAGGTCTAACCCTGCTTATCTTCGAAGATCTGATGAGACTGGGTGAATTCTGTGCGATATGGTCATGCGCGCTGGAGCGATACTGGAACCACAATGATGGTTTTAATATTGTTGGTGGTAACTAAACCAACTCAAGGTGTTCAAGGTGTCTCAATTATTAAATGAGAATTAAGCGGTGCTCATCTCCGTTGGGTGGTTCTGAACCAGAGGGGAAAAATTCCACATTCCTTTGACAGAGGCCAATGTCCCTCATTTGATGTTAAGTTAAGTCAAAGTGTGGAACACACTTGTCTAGGGCGGGGGTGGAGGGCAGGTCACCGAGACAGGCACTGGGAGTGGCACCTAGGGGTCAGCGACCAAGGAGAACTCAAGCCAGGTGGTGGTGGTGGTGGTGGTGGCGGAAACGAGACTGTAAGAGTCATCCTTGAAGAACGTGTCAACTGTGGGACCGAGACAAGGCCGAAAGCTCCAGCAGACATTGGAAGTCAGGGACCGCCTGTGCAACCATTGCAGGATCTGGCAGAAGGAATGAAGCGATAAACTAAAAGTAAACGATAAACTATATTTTATTTTTAACAGGTAAGGCCCACTGAGTTATATAGCTCTTATTCAGAAGTGACCTGGTCACAAACGACAGCCAAACGAAGTGACTTATCATCACGTGAAAATTTCTAGCAGCCAAATACTCGAAATGCGTGTTTCTAAACGTGGAGGGAAAACCCGGAAGAATCGGAGAAAAATACACGCGGACACGGGGAGAACATGCAAACTCCAAATACACAGCAGCAGGCGTCAGGTCAGGATCGGACCCACACCTCCTGTATACCAAGCGAGGTAGTTAACATGTGGCCACGATGGCGCCCCATGGTGGCGAGATATTAACGATGGTGACATCAGCGTTACCTGAGGTTCCCTCCAGAGAGCAGGGCTCGCAGGACGGCGTCCTTGGGCCGAGCCTCGTCCCGTCTCGGCGCCTTCTGTGCGACATCCCTCGTCTCCCTGGCAACAATGGTCTCCTTGGCAACCGCAGTCTGGATCTGTTAATTGAGCCAAATTAACAAAGCAAAGGGCATATAATAAATTGATGACGATGACTTTTCAAAACTCCGCTGTTACCAAAATTAGCTTAAAAATGTGCCACGCTTTTGAAAAATGGACGCCCGTTTTAGTAACGGAAATTAATACTTGAGATGTTTGTTTTTGCAGAGTTATTTATTCATTTCAGGGGGAAATTCTCCGAGGAGCTGTGTAAATAAACGTCCTTTAATCATTACCGTGCGCTTGTTTAGCTACCTGTCAGCCTCAATGAGGTGGCTTGTTTTTGTTAGAAAAACTGCGGTTTCATATATTTATACGCACATAACATGCGTACATAAACACGCACACGAATGCACACACACATACATAGAAAAGTGCAAACACACAAATACAAAGATTTCCCATTGAGCCTCGTAAACCGTTGGGGAAAGTGCTGTTCACGACAGCCCATTCAGGCTGGCACAAAACGCGAACGGTGTTGCACAGTTGCTGCATTTCCACAGTGGGTGCCTTCTATCAACAGGACAGAGCTCTTCACAAAATAAAATTGGCCGCGTGACATCAAATGTGTGTGGCATCATAACGTCTTGTAATGTCATCACCAATCCGCACCTCTTGTGTCCAGGTATCTCAACCTAGAATTATCTCACTTCTTTTCACTAACTTCGATCTCTTGCCTACAGCTGTCTCGTCTCTAGCTCGCCGTTTCACCTCGCTAATCTGTATCCGGCCATATCTCTCAGTGGATCACTCCAAGAGCCTTTGTGGGCAACATCAGGCTTGCGGCCGTCACTATTCTATCTTCTACGTTCCAAGAGAATATAACCAGTGGTGAGTTGGGCCCCAACCACGATTCTAACTTCTACTTTCCAAAATACGAGGGTGACTCAACCTTGCAATAAACTAACAGTGTGCTAAGACTTCATGGTTTGTATTGTGATTTGTATATGTTGGTTATTAAGGTCCCAAAAGACCACACAATGTTATTGGCACTGGCCAAACATCACAATGCTGTGAAAATACCTGCAAGTTGTTAGATTGGGATCAGACAGAGCAAGAGAGCCCCTTCCTGTGGAAACTTGGCAGGGCCCTCCTGAAAAAGTCTTGAGACTTGGTGAGTATGTCTTAGATAAATGCACGAGAGATCAGAAATAACTAAGTCTTCACACTAATCAAAGTCGCCAACAACAACCATCTCTGCTTTGGAATGGTTTCTGGAATCTCTTTGGAAATGTTCAAAGGTAATAATCAAAAGTAATCAAACTACTTTGCAGCTATTTTAACAGTAACAACGTGAAAATAGAGTAATCAATGGGGTCACTGGTGGCCGACTTTGGCAAGATGATTCCAGTGGCTTGTTACTCTGCGTATGCAGAGGAACAAGGTTTTCCCTCCACATTTAGAAACATGTGTTTGAGTACGTGGCTCGAATAAATTTACACACGATAAGCCACTTCGTCGAGCTATGATTTGTGGCCAGGTTGCTTTTGAAAGCGAGCTATCTAGTCCAGTGGGCCTTACCTTGTAAAATAAAAATAGTTTAATCGTTTAAAGCACCCGAACAACACAAGAACAAGGACGCATCAGAGAAACTCTCGGGGGAGTCGCAACCACAAGGCCTACCTTGGCTGTCGATCCGTTCTGTTTGGCAACCCTCTCCACGACCGGCTCCTCACCCACGCTGTCGTCGTCACCATCGTCGTCCTCGTCATCTTCTCCGCTTTCTTCATCCTCGTCTTCCGCATCAAGGTCCTCCGCCTCTCCGTCCGCCTCCTCTTGGGGGGATTCCCTTGAGGTTCTCTTCCTGGAAGTTGGTTTTCTCTCAGCAGGAAGCCGCCTGTTCCTCGCCCTCCGCTTACCTGCCGAGTGGCGCAGTCCCCAATCAATCACCAATCAATCACCAATCAGTGGCTCTTATTCATTCGTGTTGAAGCAATCCTGGCACTACCCTAGATTTACTCAGCCATAAATTAGTTCCTGGTGCACTGTTCAAACAGTGCTGGCCGTGCCGACCTCCAGAGGTGGTCGTTAACAACACCTGCCCCAACAACTCGCGAAAGGCTTTATTTGGATGTGTGCGTATACATGCATCAGGGGTAGTGCTGCTCGGAATCCCGAGTTACATTCCCTGCTGTCGATAACATACATGGCAGGTGATATCTGAACCTGCCCTAGTGTTCCCCGAGGCCATATATAACTAAGCAGACAATATATCTCCTTTATATACCCATCTCTCAATTTAATAATTCTAACACCACCTTTCGACAACACAGACTTATGGAAGTGCAGAACTTCAGCAGCACTGATTCAGTACAAGCAAACGCTGGATCGGTTTCAACATACAATGTCCATACTCTTAGTTTTTTCGGTAAAGTCACGTAGATAAAAAATGAAATTTAAATTAATAAAAATAAAATAATAAAATTCACGACGTTTCGGAGGCAACACAAGTCTCCGTCATCAGGTGGGACCATCACAGCCAGATTTGCTGCATCAAGTGAGGCAGGGATTCCAAGATGCAAGTTCTTAAATACAAGGGGAATTTAAGAACTTGCATCTTGCAATCCCTGCCTCACTTGATGCAGCAAATCTGGCTGTGACGGTCCCACCTGATGACGGAGACTTGTGTTGCCTCCGAAACGTCGTGAATTTTATTATTTTATTTTTATTAATTTTAATTTAATTTTTTATCTACGTGACTTTACCGAAAAAACTAAGAGTATGAATCCTTGCAGTCACGAAAGCTTAAAATCTAGAATACAATGTCCCCCAGCAGAATGAGGCTTGCTTGGATCAATGCTGGTTCACTCAGCGAGTAAACATCAGCACACAGGAGACAGAGGCAGCTCGATGTGAGTACCATTCCAAATATAAGAGGTGCTCGCCAACAGCACTCGCCCCATCTGTCGATGTAGGCTATATGGGAGATCTTCCTCTTTGTGTGCATACACATGTGCATGTATGTGTGTGTATTTACTGTAGGGGAGCGGTAGTGTCGCAGTTAGCGCGCTGCACTACGAACCCGGCGACCCAAGTTCGATTCCCGCTCCCGGCCAACACCAGTGACAATTAACTGAATCGGACCTGGGCCTCCCCGAGGTCGACTCAGCCTCAATTGAGTACCTGGTGCGATGTGTAAAGACATCACGACTAGGGAGAGAAAGGCAGCCGGGCATGGTGCTGCCCATCTACCCCTTAGTGTGCCGTGCCGGCCTTCATAGGTGCTCGCTAACAGCACTTGCCCCAACAGTCTGTTAAGACTATACGGGGGACCTTTGTTTTTGTGTATTTGCTATATCAGTCATCTCAGTCAGTACCCACAACACTTAGGTCTGTCCCGTGACCGCCTGCCATCAGTGAGCCTTCCACACTCCACGTGACGGCGGCCTCACAGTGCACCTAGCGCCGTGACGTCGCCACGGCCGCCACTCGGTGGCGAGCGACCGTCAGCGGCCGTGGCCGTTGCGTGCATGCCGTGCCTGCCGTGCGCTCCCGCTGCTGCCGGCGCCGTCGCTTGCGCGCCTCCAGTGAGAGGAGCCTGCGCTCGTAGAGGTGGAGCCTGGCGTAGGCCTCGCCCAGCAGAGCCGGCTCCACAGCCCTGCATGACGCGCGCGCACATCACGCAAAGACAAAGACCCCCCTTGTAGCTTTAAGAGACGTTTTGGGGCAAGTGCTGTCAGCGAGTAGCAGCTATAAAGGCTGGCATGGCACATGAGGGGGTTGGGTGGACAGCACTACGCCTGGCCGTCTTTGTTCCGTGAAAATTACATTAGGTCAGGGCAACGAAATACAATGTTGTACCGTACCTCTATGCTCCCACGTCTAAGCTTCCCGTCTTTACCAACCCACACTGGTCAGCACGGTAGTGCTTACACCTTTGTGCTGCACAGGGACATCTGCCGCTCAAGGGCCACCTTGGCTAGACTGCAGCAGAGAACTAATATGGTTGAGGTGGGATGTGATGTAAGTTCCTTTGAATTGCTGTGGCATTTATGGAAGCGCCACACAAATGCAAATCCTTACCCAGAAGGTTAACCTGTACTTTTTGTTCGAGAAAACTTGTAAGAACGGTGAATAAAGCCTTCTCTCAAGTTTAAAGCCTTCTCTATTATTCAGGATATTTCCTCCTACACGTAGGCAGGAACCCGGTGGTGTAACACGTCAACACCAAAACCGTTGCGTTCTTTGGGAGATGTACACAGACATTTCAGGACATCAGCGTTCACTCCCTCGTCACAGTTCACTGACCTGTGTCCATTTTAGAATCTTTTATTACACAACTCGATTTAATTTCCGCGAGATACACGCACCACCCACCACACCGTAGAGCCAACCTGTATTTCACAGCTGTTTGACAATTCCTTTAACAGAAACTTCATCAACAGTGCGATCCCACAGCACGTGAAATGCCATTCACCAGCTGCTTCAAGCGCAGCCATGACGTCACTGTGCACAGGTGTCGCCAGTTGTTGCAAGAACCAACAAAAAAATGTGGGTTAACCTTGAACCACCCTCGCAAGCCAACAAAGATAAACATAAACACACGTGCTTATACACGTGGACATACACAGTGCTATTAGAAGGCGCCTATAAAGGCCGAAACGGCATACAAGGGGTTGAGTGGCCAGCACCACACCCGGCCGCCTTTGTGACCACAGTGCTGCTGTTTATACACCGCACCAGGTACTCATTTAAGGCTGAGTCGACCTAGGGGAGGCCGAGGACCGATGAAGATATTCGTCACTGGTATTGGCAATGAGTGGGAATCGAACTTGGGTCACCGGGTTCGTAGTGCAGCGTGCTAGCCACTCTTTCGCCACTGCCCGCACACGCAAAAGACAAAGATCCTCCGTATACCCAATAACAGACTGTTGGGGCAAGTGCTGTTAGCGAGCACCTATAAAGGCCGGCAAGGCGCACGAGAGGGTGGGTGGCCAGCACCACGCCCAGCCGCCTTTGTCTCCCCAGTGGCGATGTTTACTACACACCGCACCAGGTACTCATTTGAGGCTGAGACGACCGAGTGGAGGCCCAGGACCGGTTCGGTTAATTATCGTCGCTGGTGTTGGCCGTGCGCGGGAATCGAACTTGGGAAGCTGAGTTCGTACACTATCGCTCCCACACAAAAGCACACGTACACACACGTTACATTTCAGCCAGGAAATTTTCATGATTCCTCGCCTGAAATCTCCATTAAATTCTTAGCATCAAATGTGATTCCTAACTGGATCGGAGGCTCGGCAGAATCGCGGAATTGTCGGGGGCTGGACTGCATGGCACCCAGTGTGGCGTTCAGTCAAGGAGAGAGGGCCCATGAGGCCTGGCTGGCCTTGTGGAATCACCATTGATACTCATGGCCGATTGTTCATACCAGAAGTGCCAATGAAACCAGCCTTCAGCCATGCTTAGCCAAGTTAATGAAGATGATAGCAATGTTGAGGAAGATGGTGATGATGGTGATCTCTTCGCACACTCACTTGGCTTTTCCCGTTACAGAGGGAATGCTTGTCGTCGCAGTCGGTTTTCCCGCCCTGTGCATAAATAATGAGAATTAAATTGATAACAAATCGATTTGATTGACATATCCATCAATTCGTTAAAACAGAATTTGTACTCTAAATCCAATCACCCATCCGTGAATTAATTTAAGGGATGCATTCACGCAAACTCTCAATTCTCATTCAAGTGGCCCATCAATTGATTTACAGTGAATCTGAATGATCGTTTAAATTGAGCCACACATTGATTTATCCCAATGCTTATTCGAGTGGTTTACCAATCCACTGACAAGGACTCATTGCTTATTCGACGTAGGTCCATACAAAGAATGGCAAAGTCTCTTCAAGCGATTCAGCAATTCATTCACACTACACGTCAGTGCTCATTTAAATGGCACATCCACAAATTCATTGATGTCACATCTCAATGAACATTCAAATGCCCCACGACATCAACTAATCGACAATGGATCTCAATGCTCATTTTATCGACCTATTAGTTCACGCACAACTTTCAACGTTCACTTGACCAACCTAACCATCAAGTGAATTACATCGAGTATCGCTACTCATTTAAGCAGTCTAACAATTTAAAACTATTGAACTTGTTAATTCAAATTACCTACAACATCTCGACTTCTGTTGAATCTCAAGCAAGGCTCAGTCTATTGCTTCGAAAATAATCTCAGGATATCAAGGTAACTTCTAAATAATGCTGTTCTCTGCCCATATGCCCCAGCACAGACTTAATCACTCTTCTCACCGGCTGTGAAAGAGACGTGTGGCCAGCATGTGGTTGAGTGTCGTCTTATTCTCCATGAAGTTACTGTAAGATGACAAAACACACGAGGACACGGTCAGCACCAACGCTAATCCGGACTCACAGGTGACCTGCTAGCGGCACAACTGATTACACCATTATCACGAGTCCAGTTGGTTAATTAATGTAAACTATAAAAACTATTAACTACATTTTTATTTTACCAGGAAAGGCCCGCTGAGCTATATAGCTCCTTTTGAGAAGCCATCTGGTTGCAAATGATAGCTCAAGTAGCTTATCATGTGGACATTTATAGCAGCCATATACTTTAAAAGCATGTTTCTAAATGTGGAGGGAAAAACCGGAGGACCTGGAGAAAAATCCACACGACCATAGGGGGAAAGAGACGCAAACTCCAAATTTACAGACGTCAGAGTCGAGATCAAACCCTCGACCTCCTGTATATAGAAGTGGTTTCCCAATCAAACGAGCACATAGCTATGCTCATCTCTTGTTTTCAGGCATGAGCTCGTGGTGGATATTCCACATTCTTATGGCGGGGCAGGACAACCACTGTTGACATCCAACAAAGTGGTACTTTGTTGATCGGCCCGGAGTGATGAAGGGCTGCACTCTAACAACTGGCCCACTTGACCAGTTGCACTGAATCATATTAATCATAATTAATGTCAGCCATTCACTCACTCATTCTCTATATAAACGACGAGGGTAAGAGCCCGTTTGGATCAGATTTCTCTTTTCAAAGAGAGACCTGGGTAATATAAATACACCAACAGCAACAAAACGCGGAATTAATCATCGTAAAGGTCCTGAAGCAACTCATTAAAACACAGCTGCTTGTGCAACACATTACAATGCAGAGTTGAACATGTGACTAACAAAATAATGAATAATTTTCGTAGTTGTGGAGAATATAAATGACTATACCCAGAAAATTTGCCTTCCTACAAGTGTCCATCCATGTATGTTTTTTACATGGATGGACACTTGTGTTTCTTTTATACAACCCATCGGCCATAAGGCCTTGAGGCATTTGGTTGTGTCGGGCGCCACCGTGGCGTGATGTTAACTACCTTGCCTGGTGTGCAGAAGGTCGTGGGTTCGATCCCGACCCTGACGTCTGTATAATTAGAGTTTGCATGTTGCTCCCCCCCGTGGTCACGTGGATTTTTATCCAGGTCCTCTGGTTTTTCCCTCCACATTTTGAATCATTGCGTGTAGATAATTTGGCTACTATGAATGTCCACATGATAAGCCACTTCGTTGAGGTATAATTTGTGGCCAGGTTGCTTCTGATAAAGAGTTGTACAGCTCAGTGGACCTTACCTGGTCAATTTTAATTGTTTTCAAATATCGATTTAAAGCTCTCGTGACGGCAGGGATTCATATTCTTGGTTCTTTCGGTAAAGTCACGTAGAAGGGAAATAATAGAATAATAAAAAATAAAACAATACAATTCTCACGACGTTTCGATTGCAACACAAGCAATCATCATAAGGTGCGAAAACCACAGCAAGAACATTTGAAAAAAGTGGTTTTCACAGCTGATGACGATTGCTTGTGCTGCAATCGAAACATCGTGAGAATTTTATTGTTTTATTTTTATTATTTTATTATTTCTCTTCTAGGTGACTTTAGCGAAAGAACCAAGAATAAAGTTTACAAATAATTTCGTCTTTACGAACAAGTGCCCTCTCGACCGGTTTCGACATTCAGTGTCTCGCCAGTGGCGACAGGCTTTGCTTAAACCAGGGGTCGGCAACCAAAATAACAAGAAGAGCCATTTCTTTCCAATTCGGTACAAAATTCAGTATTTCAAGAGCCGCAATGCATCTGAGTACATACTGTACTCACGTACATATCGTCAAGAAGCAGCCCGTAAAGAGCCGCATGCGGCTCCGGAGCCGTAGGTTGCCGACCCCTGGCTTAAACCAACGCTGGTCAACTGACAAGTCAACGTTTTTTCCCCGCCGTCATTTTATTCTATTCATCGGCTAGAGAACCAAATTCCCAGTGGGGTCACACAAACCTGTACAGCTCCCAGGAGTGGGGAGTGGGGAGGATCCGGACAAACCCACCCCTGCGCTCGTACTCCTCCTGCACACGGCGCAGAACCTTCACCTGGGGGGGGCAGGGGGGGGCAGGGGGGGTCCACAGCAGGAAGAGGTTTTGTGGTTGAGAGATGGAGGGTGATGTGGTGAGGTGGTGGAGGGCAGTGGAAGGTGGTGGTGGTAGAAAGCAGGAGGGTGGTGGTGCGTGTGGGTTGTTTCGGTTGTTTTTTGAGGAGGGGGGTAGAGGGAGACAAAATTATTGGATGAGAATGTGTGGAGAAGGGTGGTGGTGGTGGCGGTGGTGGTGGTGGTGGCGGTGGCCAAGCAGGACAGACAAGGGGAAATGAGAGAAGCGTACAGAAGCGAAGAGAGATGACAGGTCAGAGGAAAAACCACATACGCAGTTCATTATTATTACATGTGTACATGTACAGCCGTTTGTAAATCGACTGCTGGATGAGGGGATAACACTCAAAGGGCAGCACATACAACTTCATTGAACCCATTTGCTGTCCTGCCCAGCTGGTTTGGGAGTTTCCCAGTCCCACGTGAGCCACCAATTCACAGACGTGGACCATCGTGTCGGGGGAAGGATCAACGTTCATAGACCACTCCGTTGGGAACAAATTCAATCTAGCATCAATTGCTACACTGCCTTCACTGTAGTAGAAATTCTACACACATTCTCTCTTATCTCTTAAGTTCCCCTCCGCTCCAGCAACCAAAGCTTCAATGCAAAACCTCAAGTCGAACTCAGCTCAGTGGGTGGTGGCTCCTCCTACTCCTCGACTGCTCCTGATATCTGGAGCTCCCCCCCCCCAGCCATCCGCACAGCTAACTTCCTCCCCCTGGCAGAGGTCACAACCGGGTACCCGATACCCGTACCCTACCTGATACCCGGCTACCTGTACCCGGCCGGGTACGGGTACCCGTTTGCGACCCTGGTGTGGCCGGGTGCGGCCGGGTAAGGAATCAAAACCCGTTTGCGACCTCTGCCCCCTGGTCAAGTCCAAGCAAAGAGCCTTCTTTCTCTCCTCCTCTGCCTTTGAGTCCCCACGACTTCCATGCACCCTCTCTCGCTCTCTCTCAAACCTGCAATCATATCCCCTTTTGCTTAAGGGCATGTGCAGCCCTACTTTGGACAGCATCTTGGAAAGCGGTCACATTGAGATTACATGCATACACTAATCTTTTTGCAATGTGTTGAATTCCTTGAAGACAAAGGTGTTTAACCTTTAACCTAAATTCCTGTGCAAGGGTGCACGGGTGCGTACACGTCTTTGCTGTTCGTATGTATCGTGCGGAGCGGTGTCGCAGTGGTTCGCGCACTGCACGATGAATCTGGCTCCCCGAGTTTGATTTCCACTCGCAGCCAATACTAGTAATCATTGTCTGAACCAGTCCTGGGCCTCCCCTAGGTCAACTCAGCCTCAACTGAGTACTTGGTGTGGTTTGCAAAGGTCGTCACTAGAGAGACAACGACGGTTGGCATGTTGCTGGTCACCCACGCCCTAGTCTGTTGTGGCAGCCTTCATAGGTGCTAATAACTGCACTTGTCCCAACAGTCTGTTGTGGCGGCCTTCATAGGTGCTCATAATCAAGTTTTTGGGTTAGATCGCGTTATTTATAAATGTGTCGTAACCCTCCACCACCCGACACGGCCAATCAGCAAAAAAAGTGTCACGTTGACAAAAGACAAATAGTTCACTTCTTTAGCCCCACACCGGTGTGTTGAAGCGTGAAACCACAACATTTACAATTTTTGAGTACGACGTTTCGCTGGTAATTTCATCCAGCATCATCGGGCAATTCGCCAGAATGGATAGGTGCTACTAACTGCACTTGCCCCAACAGTCTGTTAAAGTCCTTCATAGATGCTACTAACTGGACTTGCTCCAACAGTCTGTTAAAGGCTATATGAGGGACGTTTGTCTTTGTGTGTGTTGATAGGTTCTAAATAACAATAATCGCCCCAACAGTCTGTAGGGCTGTAAGGGGATCTCTGTCTCTGTTGTGTCCACCTGTATGGGGAGCACTGGCGTAGTGGAGAGCACGCTGTGCTACCAACCCGGCGACCCGAGCCCGATTCGCGGCCATGGCTAACATCAGGAGCGAGTTCAAGTTCAAGTTCATGTACTAGGTATAGCCCTGTGAGCCATTCGGCTCTTGAATCGGGTGCAACCGCAACAAACTAAAAACAAAAACATGAACAAAAAAACATCTTAAAGTGACATCAAAATAGGTCCTGGGCCGTCCCAGGACCTGATTAAACATTGGCACTGGTGAGACAATGGCGGCCGGGTGTGGTGCTCGCCACACCATCCCCTCTCGGGCGTTGTGCCGGATTTAATAGGCGCTCTCTAGCAGCAGTTTCCCCAACATCACTATAAATAAAGACCTTAATCCGTATGTATGTCTCAAAAACCTCTACGGTACTTCCCAACAAGGTAGAAAGCTGAAATTTGGCACATATGTAGCTTTTAGGACACAAACAACAGGAAAAAAAATCAAAACATCCGAGATTTTTAATTTTAACAACCCCCAACTTTTCGATTTTAAGTGCCCCATAAACATGTTTGTGCGTGTTGTTCAGAAATCGTTCAAAATATAAGATTGCGTTTTTTTTTCGTTTGATAGAGCATTAAACAGCAAATACTATTTAAGCGAGAACCATTGTTTTATCGCTTATTGTTTTTTTAGATATTTCGGATTAAAGCGGGTTTGAACTGAAAAAAATACTCCTTTTATAATGTTCAAATCTGAATTTGAAAAGGGTAAAAGATAGTTTCCCTCATAGTATTAAGTCCATGCATTTTTGTTCTTTATAATAAAAAAATAACGGAATATTTTAATTGAGCTGTTTCCAATGGGTACATCTTTAAATAACAAGATGAATCAAGTCGTCCAAATGTTTTTGTTGGCGGAAAAATAAAAATGTTTGTAGTTGTTAGTGTCTGATCGTAAATAAGGACTGTAAAAAATGATATCAGGTTCATGATAATATTTATTGAAAACTTTTACCTGGCGAAGACATGCTTCATGAACGAGTTCTATAATAAAAGACGATAAACGGAATCTTAGAATTTTTGGTTAACTCATAACTCCTCCTGGTGAGCCGTCGCCGTTCTAAGTGCCTTAAAGTGCACCTAGCCTGGCACCACCCTAGCCCAAGTGGCAATCATATCACCACCACTTAGTGGTGTAAGTTGTTAATGTTGTTAGTGCGTGGGTGTACACATGCTGAGTTTGTTTGTAATTTATTGTTTTGTTTACTTTTCAAATTTACGCTGGGAAACATTTCCTGGAAGGCACTTTTGGATAACTTACTCAGGGCATTTTTCCGAGTGATAGATGGTTTTAAACAAAAAAAAAATCCTCAAGTAGAAGATTAGTGCCAGATACAGCCACATTTTGCAGCCATGATTTGAAACCATGAACCTTACTCGTGGCATTGATAGTTACATTTTAAGGTGCAATGTGTGCAAAGGACTGTTGTCTTGGTATGGTCTTTGTTGTTTAACTGTCTCGCCCAATCTAGCATTGGGAATGTTTGTACTGTAATAGTGCCATTTGTACTTCAATCCTTTCATTTTATTTACATATATTTTAGCGACTTCATCTTCTTGGTTCTTTCGAAAGAACCAAGAAGATGAATCCCTGCAGTCACGAAAGCTTTAAATCGAAATTTTAGCGACTTGTTGAACTTTTCTCTATCTTACTCGAGTAGCCTTTATTAGATTTAATTGTTAATGTAACTTGCTTACCCGCGCCTACTGAACATCTGTGAAAAAATAACTTCGTAGCTATCCGGATTCCTCTGGCTTAATAAAGATTCTGATGATGAAATGGCTTAAACCGGACACATACGCAGATGCACACTTACAAAGATCCTCCGCTTAGTGTTGCAGAGCAAAATGGCATGCGCTGTTCGCGAGCCAGAGTCACGACTGACCGCATTTGTCTTCCCAGTTGCTGAACGGGGATACTCTGCACATGGTACTAATTTAAGGTTGAGTTGACCCCAGTAGAGGGCCAGAAAAGGTTCAGATATCACCACTACGATGTTATCCATTTCCTGGCGAAAAAGGATCGGAGCATGCTGAGCAAATCGCCCATTGAGGTCGCGTCGCTCTGTGGAGGGAAGTTATGAGTCGCTGCCCAAGAGGCAATGTGGTCCCTGTCATAGGCATGGGGAATGTACACCACTCGATCAAGAACTGCTTAAGGCTCCATTAAGCATAGCTATGCTAACCTTTGGACTAACATAATTGAAAGACTTTTCAGACATTTTGTCAATTCACAACTAGATGAAAGCTTCTTCATGCCATGTCGGTCATGGGGGTTAAGCCATACTTCGCCACACTGATCAGTGTGCGAGTTGGTCAAGCAGGTTGCTCAGGACCAGTTCATATAGGACTCGCCACTGGTTAACCATGGCTGGGAATTGAACTCAGGTCACCGGGTCTATAGCGCAGCGTGCTATCCACTAAGCCACTGCTTCACTTTGTGACTTATTTCAGTCAGAACTGTCCAGGTTGGTGAGCAGGAAAATATTCCCACACCCGGCACACCACATCCAGTATACCCCTCACTCTGGCCACGTGCAATCTCCCAGTTAACCACAAAGAAATTAAGTCCGGCATATAACCATGGTAAATACACGCTGCGCTCAAAAAGGTATAATACCCTTTAGACACTTACAATGGCATCACGTAAGTAATATCGCTACAGACTTTCAGCTCTGAGAAAATAAAAACTGGGAGATGCATTTCTCGTGTTTAAAAATAAGGTGAAATGCAGAACGCCAGGAATGCTCGTCGCTGTTCAAACACAGACGAGAGCGACAGAACCACGCAGGGCATGCGCCGCTGCCAGGCGTTGGTGGGAAAGGCACGTCCTTCTCGCATACCGCACTTCATCCCGAATCACTCGCCCGTGGATCACAACACAGAACACGCGTGCGCACGCACACACACACACACACTGATAGCACATGCACAAGACAAAGATCCCCCGTATAGCCTTAACAGACCGTTGGGGCAAGTGTTGTTAGCGAGTAGCACACACGAAGGCCAGCACGGCACACAAAGGGGTGGATGGCCGGCACCACGCCTTGCCGACTTTGTCTCCCCAGTGGCGATGTTTACTCCACACCGTACCAGGTACTCGTTTGAGGCCGAGTCGACATTAGGGAGGCTGAGAACCGGTTCAGATAAGCATCACTGTACATACACAGGCATGCACATACAATCATCAATCATGCAAATATATTGTGTACACCAGTACTACATACAAACACATGTGCGCACACACGGGACAGACGGAGGTATGTGCATACACAGGCACGCATGCTTTATGTACAAATACACTGATACCAGGGGGCACGTACATACACAGGCACGCACATAGTATATACGTGCACACTAATACTCACATACACACGTCCATACGCACTCACACAGGGCCATCTGCACATACACACAATTCACAAAAACACATTAAGTGTGTACATGCACTGCTCTCTGCTGCACACCACGTTGTCCTGAAGCCTATACCAACGTGTTGTGCATGTTGGTCACCAATGCAAGCAACTACCCAGGCTCAACACTGTTCAGGGTCAAGGTTAGGGTTCTGCGAACTGATAATATTGGGTGCATTCCGAGGGTCCCAATCTGTGAAATCGTGAATGAAACTTAATCAAATTTAATTATAGATTTCATGATATTCAGAATCGATAATTATTCAAATTCTGAAGGCGATGATTGAATAACTGATGGTTGAATAACGACCCTACGTCAAATATTGAAAGCAATTTGGATAAGCGGATAATGCGTTCAGAAACATCTGCTTCTCCATGTATTCTTTAAACAACCCATCAGCGCCGCGGCCTTCTGGGAGCACCAATGATTCAGTGCAAGCAAATTCTTGACCAACATACAGTGTCTCATCAGCAGGGTTAGGCTTCTCTGGTGAACTGCCAGATGTTCAAGATATGGGTCCTAGTTCATGCAAATTGCATGCAAATTGGAGCACTGGCAAGTGCACTCACGATTAAGCGTCATCCGAGTGAGTACGTGTGTGCTCGCACCGAACATTTTACTTAACACGGAGGTTTTTGCAGCCCATATTAGGATTCATTCAACATTTTTGATTAGGCCACGTAATGATCTGGCTAAGTGTAATGATCTATGTGGTTATGGCACATTTTTAAGAAGCTGGGTCAGGTGACACGGTTAATTCAGAGTTCCGGGATTTTCCTGATGATGCTTGATGCAGTTCCAAGTGAAACACGGCGTATCTAATTGTTGCTAAATTTGGTTGCGAGAATTGTTCTTGAACCTTCCGGTGTGAGTGGAAACAATAATAATCAGAACGTTAAACGATTGTACACGTGACAAATTAATGTGCTTGGCTATGTCGGTTGGTGGAGGAGTCTTACGACAGCCAAATCATTCGGTGATCTCACCAAAACATCGATTATTAATCAATTAACGTTTGTTTGCCTGTGATGTATGTTTAGGTTTTCCTTCAACTCACCTCTTCTACTGATAGGCCGAGCATGCTCACGTGACTGGCAGATAAACGCGTGGCATCTGAAACGTTGGCTGACGTCGCCCTCAAAACCTAAGCAATAAAAACAGCAGGCCAAGTTATTCATATGAATGAGTACAACAGCAAAAAATAAAGGTTACTGTGGTAAGGGCAGCGTCATTGGCGTGTCTGTCAAAGAATGATGAAGAATTGGCAGCACTAGTGGATAATTCTGGCATGACCAAACATGGTGGCACTAGCTGGGAATTCTAGGAATATTAAACTGGGTGGCGAGGCTGTCAGGCGACTCAAGAGGTTATAGCGCTGAGATGGCGCTGGTGAAATCCTGGGTTAGAATCCAGCCAGCTGTCTTTGATTAAACCGGCCTCTCAAGTGTAGCGACCAGACCGGTTACAGCATGGTCAGTAATGACTGCACAAATAACCATCACATTTAATTTGGGGTCCAGGCTTCACGTGGCTATATTTCAGGTCTGAGAAATAAATAAAAAATAAAAAAGTTTGACCGTCATGCGACGGGAATATTTCTCTCGGTGGCAGGGCGGGTGGGGAAGTGCTACCCCCTATACTGTGTGGATCAGAGGTCACTTGCAGAGATATTTGAGGAAGCTGTGATATCTGCTTCCATGGCCACAATCCTAACAAGGAGGGTTGCACTGACCTGCGAGAGATCTGAATGGATACTTAATCTCATGGCTTGACATGGAGAGCATAATCGGGATAAAATACATGTTTTAAAAGGGTGGCAACAGGATACAATTATGGGATAAACATACCGGCCAGAACTAGTGGATAATTATGGGGGGAATATTTTACATTTACTAAACTATTTTAATTTTACCAGGTAAGGTCCACTGAGCTATACAACTCTTTTTAGAAGCGACCTGGCCACAAATGAAAGCTCAACAAAGTGGCTTATCACGTGGAAATGTATAGGAGCCAAATACTCTAAACACATGTTTCTAAATGTGGAGGGAAAAACCGGAGGACCCGGAAAAAATTCCGCACAACCAAGGGGTGAGAGACACTGCAAACCCACGACCTCCTGCATACCAGGCGGGTGGCACCAGAGAAGAATTACGAAAACAGGGTAGCACTCATTTAAACTCGAGACATTTCTCCCATCCTTACCAAGTGTTGATTTGCAGTTTGTGGTCTGCCACTGGAAACCCTCTGTAATATACAATGCAATAGAGAGAGTGAGTTAATAGAGCAAAACAATGCAACCGCGTCTCAACATCCTGTACAAAACAGTCACGTGCATCACACGAAAAGCAAAGAATGCTGTCAAGCTTGGACGTGAACAGGGGCAGGCAGGGATTCAACGGCATGGATGTCTGGGGGCAGGGTGCTCCAGACCACGCGGGCAGCAGAGAAGAAAGAGAGAATTCCCACTGAGCGAAAGCTGACTAGGGGCTTCAACAGAAGGCCTTGGTTGTGGGATCAGGCAGCTTGGGGATAAACAAGCCAGAGGAAAAAAAACAATCGAAATAGACAGCCAAGGCAGCCTGTTTGTTTTCGTACCTGTGCGTGGGGGGCTGGGCGGCCAGGTAACTCTGTGCCCTGTGGTTTGCCCTTGACTCGGGCAATCAAAGGATCCTGGCACACGAACCCTGCCACAGCAGAGGTTAGGGGTCGTTGGTTGGGGTAAGAGAGGCGCCGTTGAGTTTTTCACTAGGAATATAACGATTCATCAATTCGTCTGTCAAAATAGATTCTTCCGCCACCCGCGATACATGCATTGAACTAGGGACATGTGGTCAGGGGAGGCAGAGCTTCACCTGTTATACTCCAATGAAAACAGCTGTTACGAAAAGTAAAAACAAAGAATAATCAAATCAAATAAATATTACGATTTTTCCACTGATCTATGTTACAAGTGTAATTCCCTGTACGATTCCAATAATTTTTATAGTCGAAATTGCCAAATTTGCGGAGCTCCGCTGCAAATACAGGGAGAGACGAGAGGTGAGGCAGCGACGAGCTCAGCCTCCCCTGATTGCGCAACCCCTCAGTAACTGGATGGAGCGTGGGCAATAAGCGCGTGCCTGTTACTGTCTCAGTATATGTCACCAATGTAATGTTTGTAGACCCCTTAATTTCATGTCCTTGCCTTCCATACTCCAGGTAACTTATTTCACGTATGTGTATAAACATTTTCTTGGTTCTTTCGGTAAAGTCACGTAGAAGGGAAGTAATAAAATAATAAAAATAAAAATAATAAAACAATTCTCACGACGTTTCGGCTACAATGCAAGCAGCCGTCTTCAGGTGAAGAATGAGACACTACCAAGCTAGGAGCTTATATATACGCTGGGTTGGAGGTGTATAAACATATTTATGCTCGCTGGTCTCGTCATGAAACTGCAATGGAAAAGCACCAGGGGAGGCAGCGATCACATCTGCCTCACTGAGGTGGACGTGTCTAACACGCCCCCCTCCGTGAGGCCACGCCCCCCTCAGTATGTGAATCTGACTCTGACACGAGCCAGTGCCTCCCCAGCCATTGACCTCACCACACGTCACTGCATTGAACCGTGCAAGTCAATCTAAATTGCTTCTGATCCACACACGTGTTGTGCCGTGCTGTCTCTAGGCCGGTGCTTGCATGAACCGGGACAGAAAAAAAACAATCCACAACAGAAATGAGACGGTAAATAAGAGATGGCAAGAAATGAGACGAGACTTCCAGCAAGGAACGGGACAAGCCATGTAGATGTAACAACCACCAGAGAGAGGCACAGTACAGACGAGAGAGACAGTAAAATGAGACAGTGCAGATGAGTAAGTCGGTGCAAGACAGAACAAGAAAGACTTCATCGATGAATTGTTACATGCCGAGTATAAAATGCATTTTTTTAAGGCAAAGGTGTAGCGCCGCAATTTCTTGTTAACGCCACACATAGAGGAATGGCCTCCACTAGCCCCTCTAGAGGATATTTGCTCGACTCTTCAACGCTAGCCAGACATCTCGGAAGAGGTGTGAGTACCCACACTTTACCCCACCGCACGCGAACTGCCGATTGGCTACCTCCGGTGAGCCCATTCACACTGCTGGGTGGACAGAGGCGGTGGAGGGGGATTTAAAAAATGTTGCCCCATTGTTTCAACTGCCATGCTGAGAAATAGAACCGGTGGGCCTGTGGATTGTAAGTCGAGTTTTGCGAACCATTTACATGACTTTGACAGGATTTGCACCGTCAAAAAAATGCGCGTTGAGGACCGTCACTTACCGACCAGACTGAACATGTCGGACACCATACTGGCCTTGACCTTCAGATCCAAGGGAGCATCACTGCACAAGGTGAGCGAGAGGTCATGTCAAGAATGCACAAAGAGCAGGGGGTGGGGGGCATGCAACGCTTGGAGGTTACAACAACAACAACAACAACCGCCATTCGCCACTAAGTGGTGGTGACGTCACCACGACACTGCCCAGGTATGGAGGTTACAGCACCCTGAGCCAGCACCACTGAGATCCTGAGTTTGAATCCATGCAGCCCGCCTGTGGTTAAAGTGGGCATCTCGCGCACAGCAAAACCCCCATGAAGTTACGTTACAAAAATAAACCCCCATCAAGTTACGTTGGGTTCCGCACTTAATTTGGCCAAATTGCAGCTCGGAGAATTGAAAAATGTTGGGTTGACCGTCACGTGCCAAATATAGGAGGAAAGTTCTGCCTCCTGCTATGTAGATTAAAGTTCACTTGAAGTGATAGCAGAGGTAGAGCCATTCTCTAACATGAAAGGCTGCAATGCTCTGCTTGAGATCCGAATGGACTTTTCCATCCCATTACAAATTCAATGAAAGCACAATGAGGAAAATATTGGCAAAGGGACATTTTTTAAGTTCACTAATGAGGTGAGCAATTCGCACTGAAAGTACAACCCACACACTGGTCACGACTAAAAGGCGCAATCAACAATAATAAAACAAAAATATTACAATCATGATGTGGCCAGATGCCTTAATGTGTCAGAGCACTGACCAACACAACACGTTATACATGAACAGCCCGCTGTCAATCCACTGCTGGATGAGGGCCTCTCCACACCATGTGGATCGTGAAAATTCCTGATAAATACTTCACCATGCTGGTCAGTTTGGGTTGGTGAAGACAGGGAGTGTAGACGTGGGATCATAGAAGTACACTGCAATAGTGGATTTTGCTGCATTGCCGTCTGCTGCCTACCACTGTCGCGGATGCAACCTATACCACCTGTCATGCACTGTGAACACCCATCGGAGCAGTAACCAGGCTCAAACCCGCTTAGCGTCTGCGATCTGACGAGATCGAGTCGTGCTCCGGCTGATTTGGTGAGAGGCGCCGACGTGGAAATGCATGCTCGTTTTGGAAACGAGACACGATTTACTGTCAGAGTCAATCTGGCTCCTCGATACAACCCCTGCTGCAACGGCTGCATGCCAGGCGCGCACACAAAATCACCACCCATCATGAGAGAAGCAGCTGCGCTATGCTGTGTTACTGTGGCATGCGGATATCGTACCACGCCAGGGAAGGAGACAGGTTGACTTCCAAGAGCCACGGCTTGAGGTTGGCATCGATGAGGACATCAAACCCATACAGCTCTGCACAAAAAAAGACAAAAATCCCCCCTATAGCTTTAACAGACTTTTATGGCAAGTCTCTGTTAGCGAGCACCTATGAAGGCTGGCACAGCAGACAAAATGGGTGTGTGGACAGCACTAGGCCTGGACGACTTTTTTCCTGAGTGGAAATGTTTACGTACTGTACCAGATACTCATTTGAGGCCGAGTCAACCTAGGGGAGGCCCAGGACTGGTTCAGATATTCTTCACTGGCGTTGGCCGTGAGCGGGAATTTAATTGGGTTTCCAGGTTCGTAGGGCAGTGTGCTAACCACGGCATTACCGCTCCCCAATGCACATGCGGACAGATACTTGGGTCAGAATTCGGGTTGGGATTTTCAGAATTCCCCTGGAAGTCTTAATGCATATAAATGTATTATCATTGTTATTACTAAGACGATTAAATAACCTGTACAATCTATGGCTGTGTAATTTGGTAATCATTAAAAATAATAACACTATACTTTTAACTGAACAATCACCCTCTGCTTGTATTTAAAAAAAAATAGACCCCCACCTCAAAATCCAAAAAGGATTAGGGATTACCGTTAGGTAGAGATGTATTGATTAAACAATGAAAATGTATTACTATCCTCATGACACATACATCGAATCGTGGAGATATACATTCTTTCCATTTCATGATACGTCGTGCGTGATTGGATCACAGAAACACCGCAGGGATGGCGATCACACATATAACGCACCAACAAAAAAAAAATCACGAACCCAATTGTAACCCTAAATCATCACCCTGAATCCTGACATTTATCCGAACGCAGAAGGAGCGAGTCGTCGCATCCCTGCCGTTAGGGTTGTCTGGCAGGACGGCACCGTGGCAAAGTGGCAACACTGTGCCTCGCAGCGAGAAGGGGCCTGCGTTCGATTCCCATATCGGGCGCCTTTCTGTGTGGAGCTTGTATGCTCTCCCCCTGTTCTGCGTGGTTTTCCCCCGGGTTCTCTGGTTTCATCCCATAGCTGAAAACTCACACAGCGTAACTGGTATTGATCAAAATCCCAAATGCTGAAAAAATACCTGCAAATTACACCAATGGGATCACACACAGCCACAACACTGTTCCCTACTGTGAAAACCTGGCAGGACCCTTCTGAAAAGTCTCCAGACACGGAGAGGCTCTCCTGGGTAAAAAAGTGATGTTTTGTTTGATCTCATGTTTTAGTTTTATATAATAATAATAATACACCCAGCCCACCATTCCTTGAGGATTAATAAAATTACTAGAACTGTGACTCTTGCATCAATGCGTGCATCCGAGTCATAGTAATTCGTCAAATCGCGATTGGGGCGAAGGTAAGAGACAAATCGTGACGTGCCGATTGGCCACGGTCAGGGAAAGCGCCTGGGAGACGTGGGGCACTCAAGGAGCAGTGTGCGACGGTGGAAGAGCAGAAGATTCATACCGAAGCAATTGCCTCTGTGCGGCACAAACATGCGCACAGACGAGGCGATGGTCTGCTCCACCGACAGGATCGTCTTCACAATCAGGTCTTCAATCCTCGCCATCAGGGCTGTTCGAAAACAACAGCAACAGCTACGACGAAACGGGCGAGCCAGACAGCCAAGTGAGCAAGAACAAAATAACCGAGGCTTATCAGCATCGTAGATAATTGTTTTTTTACCCTTTTAGCTGGCAGCAAAACTGACACCTTTTACAAGGAGTCATGTTTGCATAGACCACAATACCTGCAGTCATAATGCAAACAAAAAACATAACTCTGATAATGTGCACTGTCCTTGAAGTTGATTGGTCCACACCCGAGAGGAAAGCTGTCTCGGGTGTGGACCAATCAACTTCAAGGACAGTGCATACATTATCAGAGTTATGTTTTTTGTTTGCATTATGACTGCAGGTATTGTGGTCTATGCAAACATGACTCCTTGTAAAAGGTGTCAGTTTTGTTGCCAGATAGAAGGGTAAAAAAACAATTATCATATTTTTACTGGCAAATGAGGTTCCAATGGAGCATCATAGAACTTGAGAATGTTGGTTTCAATGGGCTGCCGTACTTGCAGAGTCCTTTGTTAATCCACCGCTTGATGAGGAGCTTCTCAAGCCGTGTAAATTGTGGGGGTTATTTAGAGCATACGTCACCATTAATTAGACATCTTAATGCAATGCTCGTAAAGGCCAAATGAACGTGTCTTCATGCTCAGGGCTTGATTTCAGCCACGCCTGTTCAGGTCAGTGACCTGGCAAATATATCCGCACCTGCACACCACATCCAGGATACCTCTCTTTATGGCTGTGGCTACTAGTCGCGTGGCTACGCCAGCCTACTGGCGACCCGTGAAATATTCCGTGAGAAATGAAGCCCTGAGCACGGAGAGATACTTTGACTGCGAGCCGTGCCTCAGAATAAGCATCCAAAACTGGAGGTTTTCCGCGTGGAGGCCACCGGCCACCCAATGGGGACAGGGGCGTCAACCGACCCGTGGTGTCGTGTCCGTCCTGCTTGAGGCAGCGCAGCATCGCGCTCATGCTCCACTTGTTGCCGAAGTCTTCCACCTCGGGGTCATCGCAGCTGCGCACCGACCACGCAGCAGAACCGCACAGAACGCCACGGGTTTGAGTCGCACCACGCAACTCGTCTGGGCCTCGGCTTCTGTGCCAAGGCCCGAACGAGAGGGTCACCAGGAGGAGGGTGGTGATTTGTACCACTGTGGCGTGCTTGTTTTATTGTGAAGATGCGCACACGTGCATGGGTGCCCCGACCCCACCCCAACTTTCGGACGCACCTGACATAGTCGCGGCTTTTCTTGTTGACGCTGTAGTTCGTCAGGTGCATGAACTGGTTCTTGATGAACTTGGAGTTGCGGTCATACTTTACCGTGGCGAACCTGCGTTCACGAAAGGGTAACAATAGTAATGACGACAGCCCCATTACGCGAGCGTGTTGGTTTGCTTTCAGTCTGACCATTAGTGCTTGTAGCAGCAAGGTTCAAATTCGAGTCTCCTGATTCAAATCTGTCTACCTACTTACACGAGTATGTGACGAGGCTCATGTCAGTAGTGGAAACTACACATTACCGTGACGGAATCCAGTCTATCGGTGGCAGGACCACTGCTGAATTTGAAATAAGTGGTGGTCATCTCATCAACCCTAGGAGGATGAACCGGGTCAACCATCAACCAAGATTTGAACTTGCAGCTGATGATTGTCAGCCGGGTACTCTTATCACAGCGTCACCCAGCCAGTTCGACAGGTGCAACCATCGTACGTTTGAAATGTCAAATTGCGTGATAGAAGTCAAGAACGCAAAGATAGTGTTCTTATACTCATCTCTGTTGGCTGTCCTGCACCCGTGGGCGGGAAATCCCACATTCCTTGGGCACCGTAGACTTTCACACTAATTGTACAAATCGGGGGTAGCGGCCCAAGTGGTGTTTATGCTCCGCCATAAACCTGGCGACCCGAGTTCGAATCCCGGCCACGGCTAACATCAGCGGTGAGATTTATCTGGAAGTCCTCCCGTACGTTAAGCTTCATCAACTCGCACTGATCAACGTGGTGAAGTAGGATCAAACAACCCCCCCCCCCCCCCACTGCCAACACGGCCATCATCCAGCAGCAGACTGACAAAGTGCTGTACAAACACCAAAACAAAATGTCACCATCCCACAGCTCACCTAGGCCAGAGCCTACATCTCCAGCTCTCACCTGGCGAGCCTCCCCATTCTGTTGCAACTCACCTGGTGAGCCCCTCCTCGTACAGGTAGATCACGAGCGGCTCGTAGGACGTGACGAGAACATAGAGCCTCACGTCGAACTTGAAGTCTGCCAGGAGACACGTGCCGCCCGCCACCGCTGTCACCCAATTCTCCACACCACAGCTCACACGGCTCGCAACATGGCTCAGAACATGGCTCGCAGCATGGCTCACACGGCCTGCACGGCTCGCACGGCTAACATTAGTCGGCAGGAGGAGGCACGGCGGCTCAGATGTCAGAGGGCAGAGCCTTGCACTGCTGACATCCTGGGTATGAATCCAGGCAAGTGCCTGTGATTAATCCAGGACTTCAAAGTGTCGTGAGATGGTAGTCTCAGCCCAGTCACCGATACTAGCACATCGCATTAAATGTGGTACTGCACTTGTAAGTCAGAGGCTGCATATTAAATTTGTCAAGGCTTCTGCATCGGATCACAAGAGGGTTTCTTAGCGGATGTGACAAGGGTTCTGTGTTGGATGTGACAATAGTTCTGTATTAGGATAACAGTGGGTTTAAAGGTTCATTTGAAATGTAAATATCACTCCCAGTCAAAGGGGGCATTAAAACATCGTGCAAACAAAATGACAGACCTGGTCTTCACCTGAGGACGGCTGCTTGCGTTGTGGCTGAAACGTCGTGAGAATTATTTTATCACTGTTTATTTTATTATTTTATTACTTCCCTTCTACGTGACTTTACCGAAGGAACCAAGAAGATGAATCCCTGCAGTCACGAAAGCTTTAAATCGAAAGATAAAATCAGGTAAAATGTGGAATGATCAAGGGTTCTATATGTGGTGCAACAGGGGTTCAGTATCAGATGAGATAAAGATTCTATATAGGATGACACAAGGGTTCTGTATCAGTTGGTAACAACAACCACGCGCAGTGTGGATGGCAATTGCAGCAACACTTCCTCTGCAAGCAATTTTCTGAACGAGAGAAGTCTTAGTCAACAGCTTCCCGATTAACCTGAACAAAGCAACTGTATTAATGGCTTGGCTATTGTTTGACATTTCCCCAAGTTTCTGATGAGCTGGAATATAAAAGGCAGAGCCACAGCATTTCTGCTTCATAGAAATGAACTAAACAAAACAATTAAAACTCGTCAATAACACCGTCTTAAAATGAATGACTCTGAATATAACAGACAGCGTTTTGGACAACGACCCTTCTTCCTTCCTATGTGCTATGAAGAAGGGCTAATGCCTAAAACGTCATCTATTTCACATATCATTTTTCCTTTTAAGGCCACAGTGTTATTGCCACACTTGTTGAGTTTTTGTTATTTGTACTTGCGCACCATTCCCAACGCAATCATTTGTCACTCGACAATGTATCACTGAGAGCACTTTAAGAGATTTAATTGTAACGGGTGAAAGCATCTGCTCCATACACACGCACAGTCCCACGTCCCGAGTGCCCCAACGGCAGGCTCACGGACACGCGGGCAGACAAGACGCAGAAGTGGGCAGGCAAGCGGGCAGACAGAGGGGGAAACTGTCGGACGTTCTGGCTTGTGTCAGGCTGACACATATTGGAAAGAGAGACTCGTCACGATGCCAAACACACGACTTGCCAGCCAGACCGGCAGGCAGGCAGGCAGACAAGCAAAGGCAGGGAATGACACATAGACTGCCAGACGCACACACACACACACGCATGCATTTGGATAAGACAATGATGCAGACAGGAAAACAGACAGACACATAGACAGACACGCATCCAGACAAATACACAGGCATTAAAGACAGGCTAATACAGAGACATACACAGATGCACCACTCTTTCAGAAGGAGACACACACATGTACAAAGCTGGATACACACACTCATCAATGAATTCATCGGCTTATACAGAGATGCACTTAATATCTTAGTGACAAGCAGTTATTAAACCAAATACACATAAGCTACGAGGTACGACATTTAAAATCATAACAAACACATTTCACCAAGTGGTTTCTTGTCAGTCTTTAAATGGAAGTAATTTTCTGAACATCATTTCAATCTCTCAGTACTTAGTTCAAATCTCACCAGACTTAGGACACAGCTATCACTTCGGGGCATTTTAGTTTCCATGCGTGCGTGTGCGTGCGTGTGTTTACTGCATCTCACTGCGTGCCAGGCTTTGAAGTAGGGCTTGTATCAATTGTTTTGACTGTCACAGACAAGGATTCCCCATGTCGCCTTTAATAGACTGTTGGGGGAACATTCAGGGAGCGAGCAGCACCGCTCAAGGCTGGCACGGCACACGATGTAGCGGGTGACCTGCATCACGCCTGGCCGCCTTGCTCTCCCCAGTGCTGATGTCTACAACACTGTACGAGGTACTCATTTAAGGCTGAGTCGACCTAGAAGAGACCCCATACCATCTTCTTGGTTCTTTCGGTAAAGTCACGTAGAATGGAAATAATAAAATAATAAAAATAAAACATATTATTTTTACTCTTGGTTCTTTCAGTAAAGTCACGTAGAATGGAAATAATAAAATAATAAAATAAAACATTATTTTTATTCTTTTATTATTTCCATTCTACGCGACTTTACCGAAAGAACCAAGAAGATGAATCCCTGCAGTCACGAAAGCTTTAAATCGAAAGACCCCATACCAGTTCAGATATTCGTCACCGATGTTGGCCGTGAGCCGGGTTCACAGGGCAATGCACTAACCAGTACAAAGGCCCCCCCCCCCGTATAGCCTTAACAGACTGTAGAAGTGCTGTTAGCGAGCACCTATGAAGGCTGGCACATGTACACGAGGGGGTGGGTGACCAGCACCACACCCGGCCGACTTTGTCTCCCTCGTGGCGATGTTTACACACCACACCAGGTACTCATTAGACACCGAGTCGACCTAGGGGAGGTCCATGACCTGTTTAAATAGTCGTCACTGGTGTTGGCCGTGAGCGGGAATCGAACCCAGGTAGCCGGGTTCGTAACGCAGCTCCCCACTAGGTCACTCATGCCTCCTCCCCCACCGCTCACCTTTCATGTGGCTTCACGTCTTCATTACCACCGCTGCCGATCCTTTCAGATTCTTCCCTTTGCTATTATTCTCAAAGTGTAGGGTTTCAATTTTTTCTGACGAACTCATCAAAGCCAGCTAGCAACACGGCCATTTTCACCGATGCCCTGCCCGCAATATGGGCACGGGCTCGATGTCCCTGGGCGCTGCGCGTGCACCTGTGTGCCTGCTCTCATCATTATCACTGCCGCCTCACGGGTGAAAGGGCATTTTACACCCACAGAGAAAGTGCACATGTGCGTGACTGACTGAATGGGTTACATAATTTAGTCTTCTACATTTTCACTCTTGAATCTCTACCGCTATTACACTACTGCCATGGTTACTGTTTCCGTGAACTTCACTCACCGACTCCTCCACCCAATGCCGAGAACTCGGTCTCTTCCAGACTGTTTCTTACCCCACCGTTCTGCGTTCCACCCACCACACCACAGATCACGACGATTCTCTTTCTGCTTCTTCCCTCGCGCTGCTCAACAGTGGAATTCCCGCCCATCGTCACTTTTCCCAAAGCGGATAACCTTCCTCAATTCGAGAAAAGTTCCGAATCTTATCCGTTACATCTTTGATAGTGCTGTTTGTTGTTGGCAGCTTTAAGTTTTGGGCCTTTGGGGCTATGTTCATTATGTTCAAAGTGACAACCCTGAACGTAATCAAAACGGATTGATCAACGGTCAAAAAAATATTCCACATGAGTACCAGGGTCTGCTGGTTCAGTAATGTGGTCACTAAAAAAAATTGAATTGCAAAGTGCACAAAGAATCATGGGGAGATGCATGCTTGGAATGACCAAGAGGAGAACATGGGTTAGAGAGCACTTGCAGGTTACAGACAGGAATTCATTCTGTGAAGAAAGGTTCGTGTTCTTGGGCAAGACACGTCGCGAGATGATGGCTGATGGTCAAGAATAATGATGGGAGTGGCACCCGAAGATTGGAATATACCTGAGGGCATGTCCACACAAGTAGAGATGGAGCGATGAAATCATGCCGTGTGCAGGTGCTCAATGGATTACATTGCAGGACCGTGAGAGACGCTAGCAGAGACCTCGATTCAACAGTGGATTGACCATCGATGATGATGATGGTAACCAGGGTCATGCTCCATTCTCTATGGAAACGTTCACAGAAATCGCCCTGACATAGGTTACAGAAATGTTCCAAGTCTCCTTACTTATTGCAAGAAAAATTGCATGTACCATACATATATAATTACTCAGACAGGAAACAAACGGTCCCTTAGTCAAGGGACTGTTGGGGCGGATGCTTTCGGCGAGCACCTCTTTATGGAAGCACATTGCTGCTCGGAGGTGGTGTGGCCAGCGCCAAGCATGTCCAGCAACATTAATCTCTCCGGTGCGTGACAATACCAACACAGCTGGTACTCATTTTAAGCTAAGCAAAACACAGAGATGCTCAAGCCAAATGGACTCTGCTGTTTTGCGCACAATGGCCAGGAATAAAGCTCGGGTCACTGCAATCATAGCGTAGTGCGGTATCCAGCAACCCGTGGCAATGTTTAATTATATCACAATGAAAAACACCTGGGGTGGAGCGGTGGTGCAGTGGTTCAGCACACCGTGCTACGAACCCTGTGACCCAAGTTTTATTCCTGTAATTTGGCCAAGAACGGGTCGTGGATCCCTCACCGCTTCGCCAACCCTGCACTGGCCACCATGGTGAAGTAACATTAGAAGAAAAAAAACCTGTGACTGACATGACGAGGGCAGAACAAAGAGGTGAGAGCGGATGAGAGCCTGAACAGGTGAGAGCCTGGACAGGTGAGAGCCTGAACAGGTGAGAGACTGAACAGGTGAGAGACTGAACGGTGAGAAACTAAACACGTGAGACCCTGAAGGGGTGAGAGAGACTGGTTTGTGTGAGAGCGTGGAGGGGTGAGAGCATGGACAGAAGATGAATGGTGCTTGGATGATGAAAATTTGTAGTAAGAGAGAGTTCCAGACACCTAGTGTTGTCCAGCCAGTCCAGTCATGGTTTTGGGTACAATGAGCACGTTATGAGACGCGCTTCGGAGAAACATC